TTATCTATATTATCTTTTACTAAAATAATTCTTTTTTCTAGTTTTTTAAACTTTTAAAGTACACTAGTAATAAATATATATAAATTATTAATCTATACCTCTTACTATTATAGGCTAAACTTTAACTTTAATTTACTTATTTTCTTAAAGGTATATTCTTTTTTACTACTTAACCTTAAAGTATTAAAGTATTACTAGCCTTTTATTACTTAAGTAATTAATTTTTCTAGTTATAAAACTTCTAAATTTTTTATAGTTACTACTTTAATCTACCTCTTAAGCACCTAAATACACTTAAGGATAGCTTAAGGGATTAAGCCTAATATAGTGCTTAGGCTACTCTACGCCTAGCTATTACTACTATTTCTAGGTATATATAGTATTAACTTAATAGCTTTTATTATATAGAATAAAAATAAATAAAGAAAATTAGAATTATAATAGCACTAGTAAAAAAAAGTAATAATTAAAACATAGGTCCTATATTATTTAGAAGCTAATTCTTAACCTAGCTATTACTAGCCTTTTACTAAGAGGTTAGTACCTTTTTAATATTACGTTTATCTAGCCCTACTAGGTAAAACGCTTACTAAACTATATTAGGAATAATATTTCTTTAACCTACTAGGTCTACCTAGGACTTTAGGGTAATTACCTATTATCCTATAACAGTTTTACTATAGAAATTACTATATTTATCTTTTACTTAAAGGTTAATAAGTATTATAGGTATTACTTAGTATACACTTTACTAGGCCCTTTAGTTATTAATAAGTAAATCTATTACCTAAGGTATACTAGGTTTATACTTATTTAGCTAGATAATCCTTCTAGGCTTAAGATAATTACTATATATAGTTATAGGTAGTATTTTTACTTTACTACCTATAGAATTAGTATTAAAGTGTTTAGTATAGTATAGCCTATTTCTAAGTAGTATAGTAAATAAAGTAACTATTTACTATATTATTAAGGGCCTATTAGAGCTTATCTTTAGTATATTACTTTATTATAGGTTAAAGAAGGTATCCTAAAAAAATTACGTTGTTTAGATGTAAATAGATAATGTTGTAATAGTTTAAAAAAGGTAGTAGTGTTAATAAAGGAGGGGATTTTTAGATGTCTAGAGGTAGGGGATGTCCAGTTGCGGGGTAGTTGAGTTAACCACTCGTTGACCTTCCGATAGATATCTGGCATTGGATCTTCCCGGGGCTGGGCCCGACCCCGGGCCTGGCCGCTAGACGAAGCCGGAGACCGGCCTGGCTGGAACTTCGAGGCATTAGAAATCCGGAGGCGTTAAACTAACAGTTGAAAGCGGTTCCGTGATATGGAACGTGTAAACGGATGGATAGGATCTTCTTTATGCTGCTGAGTTGACTAGTATCTTCATATTTAAGATTCACTGTGGATTCCCATATAAATCAGGATTCCTATAACAAGGTAAACCTTGTCTACAGAAGTCTTTTGCCACTTGTGCATTCGTGACCGTTTCGCCCGGGGGCCCTCCTTAGACAGCGACGCCACGTTTGTCCACTCAGCCCACTGCTTAACGAGGCTCTGAGGAATATACCGGAGGAATAGATTAAGCGGGCCCGCTGACAGTTCCCGTATCTCTTGGGCCCGGACCAGCACATCGAAAGGAATAAAGGAGCCCGGAACCCCGCGCTTGAGGGCCGGAGGCTCGTGGGGCCGGACGGTACTGTTATTACACCGCTCCGGCGTACAGTCGGCTGTACAGGCGGCAGTCGAGTCCTCTGAAAGAATCTCAACAACAATGGTACTTTTTACGGAGGTCTGGGAGGCGCCAGATGCAGTAGAGGCATCTTAATCACTCGAAGACATCGTATCATTGGTTGAAATGATCGTTTGTATGGTAACGGCAGCAAAGGGCACATAAGGATAAATGACGTACCGGTACTGCTTAAGTACCGAGCGTGGTGCGGGGAAAGGCGGTCCCAAAAATGGGGATTCAAGGGCTTAGCAAAAATGGGGTCGGATGGCACTCGATGGGATAGCAAGATAGATACTTGCATACCTTCATGGTATTTCATTTCCAAATCGGGTGCTGTGTTCAGTACCGGGCATGATCCTTTCACTATGTTTCTATGACTGTTTACGGTCGCCATTGCATGTGTGTCTGTGCCACCCTGCGAATATAGGGATCGCTTTTTACCATTTTTGTCACCAGGTTGCCCTGGATCGCCGTCTCCACTAGAGTGGCCAATCTCCTCGGCCCTGCCGTGAACCATGACTGCTCGCAATACAGCAATATTAATAAGAGACAATACCTCAGACAGCACTGTGGTTTTTCGCAAGTGTTTTGGCATTGGTTCTTTGACCGAAGCTTAGCAAGCGCAAACTTACAGAATTAGTTCAGCAAAAGCTTCGATAGGCACACTACCTCGTCTGATTGCGTTCAAGTCAGACGATGCATGGATATGTGTATACGGAATATATATATATATATGTAGCCCAAGAATAGACGCGTAGGCTATAATTCGCGTGCCGACAGTTTGGGTTCAAAACATCCAACAGCAGCTAGCTAAAGGTCTAGGGTAAGAGTATCTTGTTTAATATCGCTGCGGGCGACTTACCCAATTTTACACCCTGCGGCACATATTCTAGGCGGGTTTGAAGGATTTGTTCGCTTTTACGTAGGATTTTTGTAATGAACCGTAGCGTCTGGTATAACCAAAGGTAAGTTGTTGTTCTTCCTTAAGTCTATATACAAGAAGACTATTAGAAAGAAATAAGTTTCTCTATATAGGTCTATTTATTAGTAATCTATATATATAGCTTATACTACTAGCAATAGCTATATAAAGCTATAATAGCTTCAATAGCTTCATAGTGTACCCTCCTAGTAGTAGATATACCCTAAGACTAGTTAAATAAGAAAAGATTGTTTTTCTATAAAAAAAGATAAAAGTATTATTAAGTAATAATAAAAGTCTAAGGGTATAAGTTGTCAATAAAGTAAATACTATTATTAATGTACATGTATACTTGTATAGTAAGTAACACATTATAGTAAGTAATATACCTTAAGAGAAGTGGAGACATTCTAGGTAAGATGCACGCGAAAACGCTGTTAAGTAATTACTAAGGTCTTTTACTAATTATGTAACATCATTTTCGCGTGCATTCCACCCAGAATGTTGTTGAAGTACCAAGGTATATAGCAGTCGCCAAAGTACACACAAGAAGGGGGTGCCTCCACTTTTGTTCTTGTACTTTGTCAAATGTCTCCACTCTCACTAAGCTGCATTAATCACTATAATACGTTGCTTACTATGCATATACGTTATATAGAAGACTTTTTCTTTAATATTATATCTTATTACTAGCTTTACTAGGTTACTTCTTTTATAATTACATAGGTAGACTGTTTTTTTTAACAAATAACTATAAACTGCTTTCTACTTATTATTAAATTTCCCATAAATATTTTACAGGCTAATTTGTTCTTCTTTTTTTTATTAACTAATAGATCAGCTTATATGCCTTAGCTTTTTATATACATTGTAAGGATGTCGCCGATAGCTCGGCGAGAGGCCTTATAAGGTTATGTGTGGTGTGTCTCGAGCAGGTCAGGGCAATCAACTCTAGCACAAAGCAAAAGCTTCGGTAATGATGCACCTGCATTATTATCCCCTGTTCTGCACTATATAGTTACGCTAGCCAGCACCCCAACTGGTTGGGCTGTAACATAGTGCAGCTCTGGCACGTAGTCCTAGAACTGGCGGATCTTTTGGTTGTTGCCAGAATAGTCTATTGTCTGGCGTAGCACACCGCCTATTCCTATTACACATATGTTATTAGTAAGTTTAACTACCAAATAACAGAGTATTTATGTTATTTTAAGTAAGCTTATAGAATTATAGTAATATACAATTCACAACACTGATTATATACATAGTAGATAATAATTTAACATATTTCTATTATAAATTTGACGCCTAGGCATATATTAGAAAACTGTAGTGTCTTAGGCACTATTATGAAAGCTTCTGAGCTTAAGAGGAGAGAGAAGTTACAGTGAACGATGCGCTGGAGAGACGCGTTTAAACCTGAAGTAAATGAACCCCTTTCTATAACCCCAGGGTAAGCGTGCCTGTGCCTGCCAGCGGCGTGGCTGTCTGGGTGGAGTGGCGATTTCAAGGGGAGGTCTAGGGACTCGATCCTTACAGTGACTGCATTCATTATAGTTACGTGAAGAACGAACAATGTTATATTATAAGAAATACACGCACACGCACACACACACACACACACACACACACACACACAGTTTATTACGCCAGGCGGCAACGCCGAAAGGGCTACTCAAGCTGACTACATGTACATTACTGATCTTATGCCTCTGTCTCCTTGAAATAAGAAATACAGCGACAATAGAAATGTGTTGAATTATTATCTAATGTGTATACAATCAGCAAAGTAAATTATATATTATTACAGCCTGACGTCATTTTATTTAATATATAAATCAGATGCTGTTATGACCTATATAGGTCCTATATAAGGCGTTAGTTACTGCTCTGCTACTAACAGCGTTGTTTTTAGTATAATAGTTATAAGCCTAGTTTGCTCTAGTGCCAGTATAGTACAGCCCTAGAGTCTAGCGTCTAAGCGTCATAGACCTTGTGGGTTTAATTCCCACGTGTAGCCTGGTCTAGCAGTATTTTAATACCTAGGGTTCGATTCCTATTATAGGCTGGTAGGCTAAAGGGTGTCGCTTCCCCCTGTCAACTCTGACTAAGTACAATGCTCTGCTTAGATTAGGGGTGTTAACTAGATTAAGCATCTCTGCTTAGTCTAGGGGGGTGTGTTGTGACCTATATAGGTCCTATATAAGGCGTTAGTTACTGCTCTACTACTAACGGCGTCGTTTTTAGTATAACAGATGCTTTCTTTATAATATAATTAAATCACTAAGGATGTATATTAAAAAGCTAAAGCTTAGACTATTTATATATTATATTGCTTTATGTTTTAGTGTACATTATCCTTAGAGCAATATCCAAAAGCTGTATAAAAAGGGCCCAGCATGATGCATCGAAACCAATTGTAGCATCCTCATCATTCACTTACAGTAAAACTCAACTAAAACTTCCTCCTTTCAACTTCAACATCTACCATCACCAAATCTCACCCACGTTCGCAATTCTTAAAAACTTCGGTTGTTATTTACCGACCATGCTCTCCCAAAAGATTTTCGCTACCCTCGCTCTAGCCGCGGCTTTTCTCCCAGGAACGCTTGCCCGCTGCAAGCTTGGTATGCAATATCACCAGGACGGCAAATGGCACTATGTGGCCCATTACGCCGACATCGGCGACACAGTGTACATTATGGGTCACAGCACTACGATCGGAATTAGATGCCAGCCCGCGGTAACCTCATGGGGCAGCTACGCAAAGATTTATTCTTGGCAAGAAATCTAACTTCAATATCGGCGACACATCACACATAATGGGTCCCAGTACTACAATCGGAAGGGCGTGCAAGCCCGCAACGACATGGGGCAACGCAGAAATTTATTCTTGATAAACTGTCAAACGGTGTCTGAAAAAGAGGGGGGAAAATGTTATTCCTATCTTGTTTTACATGGCTTAAGCCTGGTGGGATTGAAAGGTTTTTTTTTTCTGGGTTTGAACAATACTTATATGAATTAGAAACATAGTTATCACTTTCAAATACGGAGTACTAAAAGTTAGCTTGAAAATATTACGGCTAGGGTGCATATAGCACGTATGCTAGTATGTTAGTAATTGACGAAGATTTTGCTTTAAGGAGAAGAAATAGGAGAAGAAAGGAATCAAACCAAGTTTTGATTAACGCGATGCGGATATAAAGTATTGCCCTAAAGCTATTATTGTGGTCGATTGTATAACGTATAACGAACCTGTTGTAAAAGCTTGCTGATTTTTGACAAGCTGCGGCTTGGTGGCTGCAGAAGAATACTTGCGAAACGTTAGACTGGTTGCTATCTTGCTGGCTGCAAAGCCTAGTCTATGATTACAAGCCACCATCCAGCTTTTACATTACAGATTATCGCTGTCCACTGCTGTATGTTGGTCACGTTGCATCTGGCCTTTCGATGCATGCATGACCCAGAAGCCGTCCGAGATGGGCCTTGCCAACATAACGCGCTACGACGACTTCACCTGCGTCCACACCAACCTGAACAACCAGTATGGTGGACCCTTAGTAAAAAGATTGCTTTGCTTTGGCATTGAGAGCTGACCGCACGCAGTCCACTCCGTCGCCCAATTCTTGCCCTGGCACCGCCTCTTCGTCCAGGTCTACGAGAACGCGCTCCACGACTGCGGCTTTCAGGGGGTGATGCCGTGAGTAGCGCTCCGTTCCGGCTCGCTTACTCACTTCCCTTCGATCGTGTACTCACAGAAATAATCTCAGATATTGGGACTGGTCCCTCGACACGGCCAACGTGACCAAGTCGCCTATCTGGGACGCCAATACTGGCTTCGGCGGCAATGGTGACTCAGCAATTGACTCCCGGGAGGGCAGCGTCAAGAAGTGCCTTGTTGATGGGCCGTTCGCAGGCCCGCAGGTCGCCTGGACCACGGAAGGCCACAACCCTCACTGTCTCGCCCGCAACTGGAACAACGGTACCTCCTACCCGGGAAACATGTTCTCCGATAACTACGACAACAAGACCATCGCCGATATTGCCGCCCTAGACAATTACCCCGACTTCCGCTACCGGCTCGAGGGCGTCCCACACGGCGCCTTCCACTCGGCCATCGGCGGCGACATGGTGCCCGCCACCCCCCCCCCCCCCCCCAATGGTGTGTTAACATGTTCTGATTCTTCACGAGGTGCTGTGAATAACGGACAACCTATCCTCTACAGATCCCATCTTCTTCCTCCATCACACCCAGGTCGATCGTCTCTGGTCCGTATAGCAGCAGGCCAAGCCCGAGGAGCGCACCACAGCTTTTGGTGGCCCCAAGAGCCAGGCCAGTGACGCCCCCGAGGCTACTGTCGAAGATACTATGTCCTACTTAGGCCTTATTCCCGATATCAAGATTAAGGAGGTTATGTCTACCCAGCCCGAGATCCTTTGCTATACCTACTAAAGAGCATCAGGGGGGGCTCATAATTTTGGCTCCAGAAGAATACAAGAACACGGAGAGGGATGGGCGAAATATCGAATATGTAGTTGTATAGGGACTTACATAGATAAACCCAATACTTTCAGGATAGTGATTTAATAAGTTTACAATACCAAGTGGAAACAAGTACGGGTATTTGGACGTAGGTGATTCGATTACAGCCGTAGCACTAACACTTTCCTCACATATATATCTTAGGTATATTTGCTACTCTAGTGCCTAGAGCGGCACTTAGTGAGGTAGGCCAGTCTAAATTGGGAAAGTATTACCGCACTTTCTGTAGAGACCGTCTGCCCCAGGGCGTGAAGCTGGACCAGGCCAGAATACACGAGTTCACCCGTTTCTTCCGTATATCAGGCACAAATTACTGCATAACAGGGCCTAGCGCGTAGTTCATCGGCCAGGGTGGCAGCATTAACATCGCTATCCCCAAAACCCTGCCTTTTAACAGGGAGCACAATATTCTTAACGCCAGTAGACAGGGTCAAGGACAAGGTTCCTCCTAAGACTACCACAGAGACTAAGTTTATTAATAACACAGTGGCCTTAGGTATTAGTTTTTAGCGTTAGTATTATAGGCACCTACTGTAGAACACCTACAAGGATAGAGGACTGAATCCTAAGCACCTAGGTAGCTGGATGTGCACAGCTACTTGATCTAAGCGGCTGGGATTAGAGTAACCACAATAGGATGATTTGAGTCTTACCGCGATATGTTCGGTACATATATGCATGTTATCAGTCCTTGGCGCATTGGATTATAATTTTGGGCCCTTTTTTATCTCTTCATAGTTCACTGATTAATAATTGAATGCCAATTGATAGACTTTCTGACTCTTGATGCACTATATTCATTCTGCTGTTTGGGTCGCTGAACAGGAGAAAATAGAAATCGTTTATAGTTACCTCGTCGGTCGACGTGATAATTTGTCAATCACAGAATCCAGGAGGACTGCGGGAGTGCCCAATTAGTTGTTGCATCAGAAGAACTCCCCTACGGTGCTATGTGACCTGCAGAGTACACCACATGAGGCACACAGTGGGCACAAGAAGTCACGGTTGACCGAGACTAATCGAGCGAATCCCGAATTCCGGTTTCGTCTTCCATGAAAGTACCTGCGATGCGCACAGTATGTGCATACGAATCAAGTTCTAATTCTTTTGGTATAAATTATCTGCCAACCTTAAAGATCGCCGAGTGGAACCCCCGGATTGAGTCGGCACATGAACCTGTTTGCCTCTTGGTGTTGGGTATCCCTCTGCGGTTAGGTCTAGATTAATAGATGTTCTACTACTAGTTAGATCCCTCTAAGGCTACGTAATGTCGTGAAGGCATTGTAATATCTAGCATAAAACGGTTTAGAGATTATATTCCCATGTGTTATTCTTGAAGAAACTGTCATGATAACGCAGTGGGAATTACGGATCCGGTTTTGTTATTACAGAATTAAAACACCTTGCTTAATCTCCGGGGTTAATATATACGCACATTCTTTAGAGAGTCCAAATATGATTTAAACTTCTCATCTTTCTTTTGTGATGGAGGACCGGTCATTCCGAAACCACTCGTGGTGAATTTGGTTCTGGATGAACCCCTACCTCATTTAGAGAGGGAGGCTGGTTAGCGCCAAGGGTAAGTCTTTTGATTTATCTACTGCCGTTAATGAATGGTTCCTATATCCCGTTGTTACTTTAAACTCTATAAACTCATGTGTGGCCGATGGCTTCACCTGCGAGAGGCCATCAGCAGCGTAAAGCTTCGACGACAGGCTAGCACACGGGGTGTTCTGAAGCGTTGGACTCCATCAAGACTGTGATTCAAGACTGTTTACTAATTAAGGTTGTGGCTTTCTAAATTACTTTAAATATGTCTCTTGCTGACAAGGCGAAGTGTTTTGGGACATAGAACCTCCTCGTCTGTAAGTCAAACAAAGGTTGGCGGAAGATATTCAAATTGAGCCTAGAATACCGTAAGAGTGAGAGAGACACGGAAATCTCGTAACGGGAAAGCAAAATAAAGCTTTAGATTGTTATCAGATGTATATCCTGCTGGCGTATGGTCTACTCAATGAAGATCCAGCTGTTTGCCCTATTTATCAAACACGTCGCGGAGTTTCCCAAAACAGGGAAAGAGCCCAAAGTGGCGTGTAAAGGAATGCGTCTCGCTCTCTTTGCTCTTCATAAACGATCACTATTCCAGCTTGTTGTTGACGTGGTCGGAACTCTCGGACTATGATGCCGCTCCTTTACATCGCGAGTAATGACGTAACGCTGCCGCCACATCCGAAATGCAGATACGAGCGACCCGCGTCAACATCGTCTTCTCTTCTTAAACCACACCACCTCCGCCTGCATGCCCTGATAGATATCGATCATTTCAATAGAAATCACCCAATGAACTCCTGGACAGTAGCATGGCAGGAAGCCCGTTGCCCAGTTACTCAGAAATCGACGTTGAGCTCGAGACACTAGCCGATTCGCAGTATTTTGACAGTCCGGATTCTCCACTCCCGCTGCTTGACTACGACGACGACCACCACCACACGGATGGGCAGACTCTCGGGGGTAACAGAAGTACAATTAACATCATGAGTAGCACGCCAAAATGGATGAGGACGGCGCAGCCTTTGGGCCGATCTCTATACCAAAAGGCACTCGCAGCCGTCCAACCACGACTGACCTTCGGATATGTCGCTTGGTCCCTCATTAGCCTTTATGTTCTCTATTGCATCCTCGCCCGCTCGCCGCTATTCGCGTCGAAATTACCCGGGTATTCGGGTCCCTACGAAGTCGGTGCAATAGACGTCGAGGTACCTGTCCGCACGCCTCGTAAGATCAGCGAGCAAGTCTTGGAGAGCGACGGGAAGCCAGCATTCGAACTCGAGACGGTGCTCTTCACGCTGTACTATCCTGCAGCAAAGGGCTCCAGCGGCACCGGTCACCACTATTGGATTCCCAGGCCCATCAGTATCACCGCCGAAGGCTATGCGAGAGCCGCGCACTTCAACAACTTCATCTCGCGGCCGGTCTTCACATTATTCTTGTGGGCCATCGCGGGCAGCATCAAGATCCCTGCACATGTCGACGTGCCGCTGCTGAAGGACGAGGAGGAGGAGTTCTCCGTCGTGGTCTTGTCACACGGCCAAGCCAGCTCGCGGACGGATTACACGCACTACTGCGGCGAGCTCGCCAGCCTTGGCACCGTCGTCGCCGCTATCGAACACCGCGACGGCAGTGGCCCAGGGTCTGTTGTGATGAGCAAAGATGGCAAGGAGCGTAAGGTCATGTATTTGAACAAGAAAGAGCTTCGGGGCGGCAAGGAGATGAAATCGGACGACTTCAAGTTTCAGCAACTAGCCTTCCGACAAGCCGAGATTGAAGAGACCATTGCCGTACTGCAGGAACTGCATGCAGGAAAGGGGGCTACCGTCTTCGCGAACAACGCCCGCAAAGAAGGCCGTGGCCTCGCAGAATGGGAAAGCAGACTCAATTTCTCTCAGACAGTCATCGCGGGCCACTCACTTGGCGCAACAGGTGCCCTCCAGGTCCTCAGAGGCGCCACCTCGGCCAAAAACCCTGCTGTCGGCGGCATCATTCTCGATCCCGGCAAGAGCAGCGGCAGGCTAAATACGGATATCGACGTACCGATCCTCATCATACACTCGGACTCGTGGTCCAAGAAGATTACGCCGTTCTTTGGAAGGCCGCACTTCGACACCGTAAGAGACATCGCCCGGGACGTGCTCAAGCGTGTGGGCTCGAGCTGGTTTGTGACGAGCCTACGGACGAGTCACCCGAGCGTCACTGATGCGCCTCTGATTGAGCCTTTGCTCCTCAGTTGGACGACGGGAGCTACGATTGGCGCGCATCGAGGCCTGAAGGAGTATGTAAGGGTATCCCAGGAGTTTATGGATTTTTTGAGGAACGGATCCAGAGAGGGCGTGTTATCCGAAGACGTCACCCATGAAGAATACGGAAAGGATACTATGACGGAAGAGCAACGAAGGAGGATGCCCAAGGAGACGACGAAGTATTGGCAGATTCACGTCGCACCCCCACGCGAAGAGTAAGAGGATGGTCTCATGTGGCCCGATGATGATTATTCATATTGATTAATGAACTATGATTACTCGTCTGCGTTATCTGCGTTATCGTTTCTCGAAGCGAGGAGCCGAGGGAGCGGTCTGGGTCTCTAGCAGCGATTTACATCAGTACCACATCTCTACCTTGTTTGGTCAACGACAGTATTCTGGTATCAGAGTCCCAGACTATATCCACGCGGACGCACCCCCCACACGACTTAGGGCTTACTCGGACGATGTGATTGAATGCGCCTGCCCCTCTCCCCCCATTTAACCAAGTGAAACTGACTCGACCAGAGCCAGATTCGTGTGCAGTTTGGTATCTGCAAGAAATTTTACGCCATCTTCCCTTTTGCTTGTCGGGCATCCCACGCCAATGCGAGCAGCGTCAGAGCCGCGCCTCCACCCTCCCACACCGCGATCCCCATCCAGCCCTGCCGCCAGAAGACGACGGCAGACGCGAGGCGCATCGGCACGGTAGCGAGGAAGAACGGCCGGTTGTCCTGGGCAACGGCCAGGGTGTAATAGACACCCATGGCGACGGCGGCGAGGGCGTTGCCGTTCGCGGCGGGGAGCGCGCCGGCGGGGAGGTTCAGCGACGCGAGCGCCCCGGACGGGCGCAGCAGGGAGCTGACGCCCGCGATGAAGGAGGAGAGCCCGAAGGCGAGGATTGTGTACCGGGCGACGCCTGGTGCCATTGTCGTCGGCGAGTAGCGTCCACTCTCTAGTTGAGGTTGTTCAGGTACAAGTTCGGAGCGTGATCGAGGTGCGATGGAATGCGGGGCCGCTGCTCGGGTCGTCGTCGTTCCGAGCGGAGGGAGAGATAAGCCTATGGGGGGTTTTTTTTTTTCTTTCTCTCCCTCTTCCTCCTGCTTCTTCTTTGAGGAGCGTTTCTGCGTGGAATGCAGCGCGACATGCGGGTTGGCAGCAAAAGCCTAATATCAAATAAGGAGTGGTCCTTGTGTCGGTCCAACCCGTCAGCGTTCTTCGCTAGGCCGCCATGAAACCCTGAACCCGGTGTTTGGTGCTTCTGAGACATGTTGATTCCAGGAATCCGGACGGCTTGGGCGAGTCCACACCAAGTTGTCAATGTTGTGCATTTTGGGGGGGGGGAAGGCGGCGCTCCTCTTGACAGACTAGCCTCGGTGCGTATTATACGATGTGGGAATGTCTCATCCGAGGATTTGCTCTTGGGGTCGCACCAACATTGGCGCGAAATCCGAAGCCTCGAGTTCTTCGTGCAACCCCTCTCTCCCTCGCGAGGATGATTGCATGCTGGGGGCACCCGATGATTCGGCATGCTACACGCCACGCGTTTCTTGTTGATGGAAATGAGCTCTGCTTCATTGGACGCCCGGCTCGAGCCACTTGACTATCTTGTCTGGACGTCTCACTGCGGACGAGTGGTTGTTGTCGCCGTCATGAACGGGGGATTCGGTGCCCCATTCCAGATCCTCGGTTGGGAGCGGTGAAGGATTCGGCCTCCGAGACAGAACCAACCCGATCGCAGACGACTTGGGTTCAAACAAACGGCTTGGCTTGGATGGCGAACCGCTTGAATGGGAAGGATGGTGAGACTAGCCCAGGCAGCGGCGCTGAGAAAACGTAGCAGTGTTCCTGGCGTCCATCTTTCTCTATCCCCCTCCCTCTCTCTCTCTCTCCCTTTGCCGGCTGTGCTGTGTCTGAGACAACAGTGTCGCATTATTTGCGAGACACCGGGGGGCCCTCGGCGCAGAAGACGGACGTCCAACGTCAGTGGCAGTGATAAGATGTGATCGACAAAACACGTTGGTGACCTCTTAAGTCTCCCCCCCCTGATAACTGCCGGCTCAGGGCTTGACGGAAACATTTGCATCTGCGCATAGTTGAAATGAGGAGAGCGACCCAGGGAATGAGGGCTTCCGTGTAGGATGGACAGCAGGGGAACGGGGGGAAAAAAGTGCCACCGTTAGGCCTCGGAAGTAAAGTTGATGACGGGGTGGCGGTTGGAGATGCCTGCAGGGAACAAAGTCTCGCTGACCCCAGATTTGTCATATGACACTTACAATCAGCGGCAGTTCTCTCCGTAAGCACAGGCGGCAGGGGGTGGGAAGGGACAGTGCCGTCCCGTGTCGTTGAGGTTGGCCATACATAGACGGATGGATGATCTGATGAGATTTAGACATAAGACCGTTCCTCGCCGTCCGTGCCCAGAGAGCCAAGGTCAACAACCAACTACCGCAGGGCTAGAGGCACTTGCTCACATTCCCCCAGCCGTATCACATCGGACGGTGGATGATCGGCGTTCCTTGCAAGCCGACTTGACTTTTGACTGGGGGGCCCCAAAGACGGGCGGCCTGCCGACTTCAACGGACGAGCTGCATACCCTTTCTGGGTCTCGCTTCCGGCTGGGATATACCATCGAGGCTAGATTGGGCAACTGCGAAACGCCCGAGTCTCGACCATGATTCCGGGCACGGACGACTTCGCCCGGCCACGGCTCACGGCAGCCGGGAGAAGGCCGTTTGTCCGTCTAACGGGTTTTTAGAGCACCCCTTTCCTTGTGCTCAGGTCGGCCGCTCACCTCGCAAGGGGAGAGGGGGGGGAGGATGCCGTCCGTCGAGGCGAAGCATTCCGCTTCCCGAGGCCCCCAATGGTCGGGTCGGTCCTGATCTGGACCCAAGTCTTCAGGACCGCGGTTCGCTATAATATGCGCCGTATCTCCGACAATGGTACCTACCATGGCGCCTCTCTCTCTCTCTACCTCGCGTCGTCCTAGGTGAGACATTATTGCATTATGGACTGGCAGCCACCCGAGGAGCCAATAGATGGCACGAGACCGTTAGGCGAGATTGGCGAGCGCGCCGGTCCTTTTCCACCGCTTCACTGGGACGTTTCGGTGTGACTGCAGACTTGCTTTTCCCCTTATTAACCTCCTGGGAGGGTCTTCCCTCTCAGGGTACGTGACGAATCGCCTTCGTGCAACCCTCGCGGACGCAAGAGCATCGATCCGAGACGGGGGAAGCGAAGCTGGATTCAAAGGGGGGGAAGGGGGAAAAAAAAAACAACGACAAAAGGCCAAGCCAGTCTGGATCGGCCCGCCGGGAGGGCATGAGATGCTACTGCTGCCCCTCGGAGATTAACGCTCCGGGCGACACCCCTTGTGCCTGGCTCTGCTCTGCACTACGGCACATACGTAGCAGTAGGTAATCGACGATGTGGTCGCATACATAACCCAGATCTCGGGGTAGAAGCCCGCCCTAACCGAACGGGTCCTGCCATAACAAAAGGCGCGTTTGGACTCATTGCTGATGGCGACTCATTGCTGATGGCGTTTGTCCGACGTCTTTGAGGCAACGAGAGTGGCCGGGATTCAGGACTCAGCGCCGCCAGCCCCCGTCTCCCCGTCCGCCCCCCCCTTCACCCTTCTCTCTGTCTCTCCTCTCCTGGGCTGACGGGTGTTGGTGTGTGTGTGTGTGTGTGTGTGTGTGTGTGTGTGTGTGTGTGTGTGTGTGAAGCCGATCCGATGTTAGTGTAGCGGCCATTGACGCCGCTTATTGTTGCCCCTGGCTAATAACAGGATTAATAACAGGATAAATAACCCCAAATCGCGAGAGCTGTTGGTGCGCGGCGATCAGCAGCACCCCCTCCACCCCCAATGCGAATTGGAGGGGACGCATGAGTCGCCAGACCTTAGCCGTGGGCCAAGTTTTGATTTATCGTTTCTACGCGCGTTTGCCGCACACCTTAATTATATGTATAATACTCCGAACGGAGTACGCCAATTAAAAATAAAACGCCTTCAGGGCCCCGTGAGCCCGCGGAGCTCGACAGCCTTAGTTTTCTTCCGTCTCCCCCGTCCCCCTCCCGTATCCTTCATGATCTGGGGCGGACCGGGTGGATAGTCCTGTTTGGTATGTGCAAGACTAGGAACCTGACTTGGTTCGCTACGAATACTCTCTGGCCTTCCCTTGTGCGCTCACAGACGCCAGCGCGGCAGATATCGGTGCCTGCATTTGTATTGCCGTCGTACATGACGCCATGCACCATCGTGCATCCACTGATCTCCTCTCCTCCTGATCCATCAAGTTTCTCTGGATTCGCAGCAGGACGCGGCATCCATTCGGGCTGGGGCCGTTCGGTGGAATCTCCCACCCAGAGAACTGAGACTACTTTTCTGACCCCTCCCCCCCCGGTGATACGGAAATGGGCGTGTATGTGCTTTGGTGTACTGTGGTGGGTGTGTGTGTCGTGGCACTTGGAGCGCCGCGATTTGAGGACAGGCAGGCTCACCACCAGTAGAAACGGGGAGGGGGGGAGTGTGAGATAGTGTGTGTGTGTGAGAGAGAACGATTGCTCCAATCCGAGCCCATTTCAATCCAACATACACCATATACACAGAAGCACTACATCGGCAGACGAGAGAAAGTCATGTGTGTTCATTGCCTCGGTCTTTGTTAGGAGGGGAGGGAGTGTTCAGGTTTGGTTCGGGCTGAGTCCCGGCCGCGGCATGGTATGGCATGACCTGACATAGTGGCACATTGATCCAGGCAAGAAACGGAGGGCCAGGAACTGCCAGGAGGTGCAAGTCTCGCCTCGGGGATATGACAGACGCTCGTGAATGGTCACGACCTGGCCCCTGGATCCCTTCCACATGGCCCAATGGGGCATCTTGCAGGCCGCAGAGCAGCCCTGAATGGCGCCGGCACACACCTTTCCCAAAGCTCAGGGTACGGCGCTCTGTCTCTCTCTGTCTCTCCCTCTCACTCTCACTCTCTCTCTCTCTCTCACTCTCTCACTCTCTCTCACACTCTCTCACACTCTCTCACTCTCTCTCACTCTCTCTCACTCTCTCTCACTCTCTCTCACTCTCTCTCACTCTCTCTCACCCACTCTCACCCACTCTCACTCACTCTCTCTCTCTCTCACACTCACCCTCATTTTCATTCGTGCTCTCGGTCTTTCTTATTCCCACTCTCACTCTCATTTGTGCGTTCGGGTTGGCTCTCGTCCGTGCTCTCCCTCTCCCTGTCTCCCTCTTCCATCTTACTTCCGTTCCTTAATTCCCGTCCCGTCCCCGCAACTCGCCGCCGGTTTTCTGTCGTCTTCCGTCAGGTCATGACTTCGCATCCTATATCCCACACCACCCGCCCACTCACACACACACACCACCCTCTTCAAGCCGTCACCTCCGTGTCCCGGTAATGCACATGCTGACACCGTGGAACGCTGGATCGGTGTGATCCCATCCATCCATACCCGGCAGGGCCCCTCCCCCCCATCTCGTCACCACATGTCACCCACCCATTGAGACTGGGGCCTCGAACTGTTTCCCATGTTAGTCCCAGCATGCATGTCGAGCCCATCTCCCCTCTCCCCTCGTCCCCTTGCCATGTACATCGTACCTGTCTCTCTCTCTCTCTCTCCACCCCGAGCAAATCCCCAGCAAGCTAAAGTTGACTTGGCCAGCTCGCCAGCCGACAGACGAGGTATACTCTCTAGTCTGTCTGTATCCATACCCTACCTGCTATCCGTACTCTGTATCCATATCCGCTTAGTGTACATGTACGGATCAACTGAGACTGCCAAACTCGACCCCGTCAGTCCACCCGTCCACCCGTTCACCACCGTCCACGTACACTACATATTACGCACCGCACCTCTGCCGCCCAATACCTGCGTCCCGGCCGCCCGCATCCGCATCCCCGTCCCATTCTTTCCCCCTTCCCTCCTCGGACGCGGCCGACCTCCAATCGCCTCCCCTACCCCCATCCCCTCCCCCTTGGCAGCCTTGAAGACATATACTTTGCTGGTTGATGCATCCGTGAGTGAGCTGACACAACCGGGGAAGGGCTTCCGGCGGCAAGAACCCAGAACCCAGAAACCCAGAAATATCCCCCCCCCGAGGTTCCCCCAAGAGCCTCATCATCATCACCATCATCATCACCAACAACAACGTCGTCGTCCTCATTAAGAAAGAAGGAAAGAATAATAAGCTTCCCATGCCAAAGAAAATACGGTTATCGTTCCGGTCTGCAGTGTTGCTCTGACTTTCTTTTCCACATACACACGTACATACATACACACGCCGCTCTCCCGTGCCCCGGCAAATGGATTACGCATCATCATCATCATCGTCGTCGTCATCATCATCCCCCGTGGATTCACCGACGCCGTCGTTCTTCACCTCGGACCTCGACGGCCTCGCCCAGGCGCCCTCACCTGTCGCCCGCGCAATCCTCGTGGCGTTGTGCGACGATCGCCGTGTGCGGGCCCAGGCGCTGAGGCAGCTCGGGCGGCTGCTGCGATTCGAAGCCGACGTCCGCGGCCAGGGCCCGGTCAAGAGCCCCGGGTCCGCCACGAGCCCGTCAAATTCGAAAAAGAGGAAAGTCACCGGCGAGCCCAAGATATGCGTCCAGTGCGATTGCATCTTCACCGATGACGAGAACTCCTTCGGGGCGTGTTGGTACCACACAGGTAAGCAGGAACTGGGCGGCACGAGTCAGCGGACCTGACCCGGCCATCCATTTTTTTGACTTCTTTTTGTCGTTTCTTTGTCCTTTGTTCGTCTGGTTCTTTCTTTTCTGCTTCTTCTTCTTCTTTTCCCCTTTTGGGTAAATCGGAGTGGCAGGGGGAGACTCCGTTTTTTGACCGTTGACGGGACAAAACAACTGACTCGCGTTGCCCTTCTAGGCGAGCTAGAACTTTGGGACGAGACCCAGATTCCCACGCTCTGGGACGAAGTATCGTCAGACGAGCTTGACACGGAATCGAACCGCGCCGAGTACCCTGCGGCGTTCCGGTGGTGCTGCTGCGAGAGGCTCGGCGACAGGACGGGCTGCGTGCGCGGCCATCATGAGTCCAACCCGGACAAGAGCAAAAAGGGCCGCGGCAACGTGCTCTCCGACCTCGAGGACGATCCGCTAGAGCTCGACGCGTCGGACGACCTGCAGCCGCCGCTCCAGCAGCACTACACGATCACGAATCCCCAGGAGACGAACCCCCGCAAGCTGCCGATGCACCAGCAGCAGCAGGAGGAGCAGCATCGTAATCTCCTCCATCAACCGCAGCAACAGCACCCGCTCCATTAGCACTAGCAACGAAGAAAGGGAGGTCCGAAGAGAGTTCTGTCACTTGGACTGACAGCGGCTCAGAGGCCTGCTCGGTCAGATGGGTCCTCCTAACTGTTAACTGCAAACGGGATCTGTGCCGACCGGTCATGGGGATCTTGTTTTGTTTCAGCGTTTTCAATCAGTCGGATGTGTTTCGGCCTTTCCAGCGACGGCCGCGGCGACAGTAACGGCAATGCCGGCGGGCCTTCGGTCGCAAACCGACACGACAAGGCGCCGTCGCCGCCTCTATTGCCCACACGAGAGGATGTGCCGGGGCTGCTTGTGGGATATTTAAGATCGCAGTCGGTCGAGGTCATTTTGTCACAGCGAACGACTTAAAAGGGAGCGGTGGAAACAAGCATTGTTTTGGGAGGCATAGCATTGGCAAAAAATGTCTGGAACACACACACACACAAACACACACACTTGACGGGAAGGCAGATCTAGGTGTTGGATGACAAAGGGGCCCCCCTTGGCCCTCCTTTCCTTTTCCTATAATCCGCTTATACGTAACATGCGTTTTTCACGGACTCGAACTGAGCAGGGCGAGGACACCATTTGGCACGCACCGGCGCACGGCACAACTCCTCTGCACCTTGCACCGCACCGGCACAGGAAATCGAGAGGGAGGGTACCTTCAAGACACGGTGGAAGACACGGAATTTGTCCGATGCAATGCTACCCATTGTATAAGAACAACAAAATTAGGAGATGATGATTGGAAGGCACGCGCAACCACTCACACACACACACACGAAGAGAGAGAGAGAGAGAGAGAGAGAGAGAGAGAGAGAGAGAGAGAGAGAGAGCTGGCTGGAGGGCATGTCGATTAGAATCCAACACAACGGGGCGAACCCGGAATCACCTGATGTTTTTTTGTATCTTTTCCTTTGCACGAGCATAGCAATACGCACACATGGATGCCACTTCTGAGCCCGCGGTTTTGATAAATGACAAACAGAGCGCCGTTGCTTGTAGAGATCGAGATCTGCGTCTCGTCCGTCCCGTCCGTCTCATACGGTGAAGAATGAAGACTGGCGGTGGCGGATTCCACACGAATACAATCCACATGCGCATGCGCGCCGTGGGTGACGGAAGCGCATCCGGGACCCCGATATCATCTGCAGCGCGCGACGTCTGCAAGGGACACCGGAAAAAGATTAGCCAGCATCTCACGGGGCCCATTATGCGATGCTGCACAACAGTAGTCGTACACGCCACAAGGGGCGAGCAAGCAGACAGGCTCCGGACTGGATGCCGCCTACCTACCGGTACATGCCCCTCCCCCCCCCCCCCCCCCCCCCCCTTGAAGGCGGTAGAGCTTGGGGTGCCACGGCATTGTCTCTCCTAGGGAACTGCAATCGAGAGGGAAGCGGAGGGTCCGCCTGGGCAGCAGGGGTTACCCTGACCATCCGAGATTCCCCGGCAAACCATGATCGGCGTGAGGGGTCGGGGAAAGACGCGTCTGTGTGTGCGTGCAGTCATCCCCTAAAAGAAGAGGGAGAACCAGGGAAACCTTCGAGGATGCTTCTTCTATATTACTATACTTGTAGTACCGGTATATCCTATGCAGGCATCCGTAAAATCCTGTACAATCCCGTCGCGCCAGTTTAACGTTTCAGGGCGGAACCGTCCCCCCGTCCCCGGGATATGGGTGGAACGTTACGAACGCGTCCTGGAGTCTTAACGTCACGTTGTAAGGGGAGCCGTTCGATCTTTGACCACTGAGGGATATTGGAGAGGATTTTTGAAACCCTACACACTTCGGCCGTTAACTGACTTCAGTTGACCCCGCGCTTTTTCCTCTCCTTTTACCATCCGGCAAATTCACCCACAGGAGAGGTAGGTAACGCGGTGTGGTGGCCCTCCACTGCGTCCGATATCGCAGCACACCTACCTCCACTTGGCTTTGAGAGGAGGGGCTGCTGCCAGCAAGCTGCATCGGGGAACAATGGCCGAGCATGCTGTGCAACGCGACGCCGTCCAGGCTGCGCGCGCGAAACAGGAACTCGACGCCGTGGGATCCATACCGGAGGCCGACGCTCAAAAGGTGCTGTATTTCATCTGCAGCGAAGACGAGGCGGTCCGGAGGAAGGCTCTCGACTTTTACCGGGGCGCCCCGAAGAGGGACGTGTGCACGCAGTGCGAAAAGGAATTTGACCCGGACAAGAACGCCTCCGACGCGTGCTGTTACCACCCAGGTAAGACTCGCCTTTGTTTTGAAATCAAACTAGGATTCCCAACGGCGAAATCCCGTTTCCAGACTCGAGCTGCCATGCTTACCAGTCAAGATACGCTCAAGCGGGTGGCTAACCCTTCGACGTAGGGGATTTCGAGCTGGACGAAGATCTGGAGGTCTGGGACGGCGTGGACGACTATGACTGGCCCGCCGAACATTATGAAAGAGACAGCGAGGCCAATCGTCAAGATATCCCCGAGGGATTCAGGTGGAGCTGCTGCGACCGCGTGGGGGATGTAAAAGGGTGCGAGACGGGGAGACACGAAGGCACGGGGGCGACCACTGCAGCAGCCACGACATACGGACTGGCGCTCGAGGTCAACAGGATGAAAGCGAAGAGGCTCGGCGAACTCGGCGGCAGGGTGGGCAAAGAGTCCGAGGTCCATGTCCCGGGAGGGCAGGCTAGCAACAAGCGCAAGGCAGACGGCGAGCTCGGTGACGGCGACGCGAGCAAGGTGAAGAAAGGCGCCGGCGCGCATTGACTGGGCATTCTTTACTGATGGGCGACTGGGCTCGGGTTCCACAGGACTAGTAGGTGCTGCTAAGACTTATTTATGCTAACACGAGTCTAATGTTGATGACGATAAAGATTAAGCGGTGAAGCTACGGAGTACTACTATATATCCTCAGCCAAGACTTGTATATATACCGAGCCTGTCTACCCGCGAATTTATGACGGGTAAGATTCCTTGAATTACCCATCAATTCTATTGATGTTTAGCTGATATGCCTGATTTGATTGTATTTCTGTCTAACTGCTTAGTTACCTATATCACCTAAACTGGACATGTACATCCGTCCCAAACTGGATTAGTATGTTTCTCACTTTAACACACAAGCTCGAGTCGTACAAGAAATCCTGTAAACTTAGTCATCTAGCTACTTTGAGAGGGAGGGCGCCAAACCATTGCTGCCTGGTGAGATGCATAGCCCCTCGACTCGTCGTCGTCAGTTCATCTTCTGGATCCCGTCTCACTTGGATTTCCGCTTTCAGACGTCTGGACTCTGTGACCTTCATGACAACACGATCGGCTCGAGATGGCAGAGTATTATGGCTCCGTCTCCGTGGACGACTTCACTATCGGGTGGGTTTGTGCCCACCCGTTGGAGCTAGAAATCGCGACCAAGATGATGGATGAGCAGTTGGCCGGCCTCCCCTCCCACCCTGGTGACTCCAACACCTACGCGCTTGGATTAATCGAAGGCCACTTTGTCGTAGCTGCCTTTTCACCTACCGCCGAGAAAGGTACAAGCCCGGTAGCGACCGCGGCTCGCCACATGAGGTTGAGCTACCCTTCAGTCCGCCTCGGCATCTCAATCGACATCGGTAGCTACGGTAGCTGGGTTCCACATCACGGCAACAATCTCGACATCCACTTGGACGACGTCGTCATTAGCCCGTTGTTGAATAATTGCGACGAAGCGGTTCAGTATGATCTCGGCAAGGTTATCGATGGTCACGTTACCCATCTGGAGAACAAGGTCGCGCCGCTATCGACAACTGTAATGGCGGCGCTTGAGAAGTTACGCACCAATCATCTTCGAAGCAAGACACGGGTCTCGGAACACTTATCCAAGCTCTTATCTATCTACAGGTTTGTCATAGCAGTACAAGCACGATCAACAACATACTAAGCTCTCCCTCACAGCAGCATTGTATCTCCACCTGAAGTCATGAGAGACGGGCCAGTACATAAGAGAGATGCCCATGAGCTTATCAAAGTTTGGTTATTTGATACCGAGGTAGCTGACCTGAGGACCGATGACTCACAGACTGACTTGCCTCTGGTTATCATCCGTGGTATCTGCGACAAAAATGACGGCGAGAGGTTGCAACAGCATGCAGTGGCTGCAGCCGCGTCATATGCTAAAGAGCTCTTGCAAATCCTCCCACCTCTGGTATTCTTGATGACCTCAGAAGACAAAGCAGCCTGTAAGTACGACAAGGTGACCCGTGGAGCACATATGCCTACAGACACTGAAGAAAACAGCCGAAAATTCCTATACGCCTCCTCCCATGAGCACTTCAACGAAAGTTATTCTAAAGCGATGGCGTCCATTGGTCGACGAAGAACCTTTATTTGACTCGTTTATTGGGTTTGAGGAAAGCACTTCGACTGGGCAGATTTACGATACAATGGACACGTCGCCCAGACCCCCTCTCAGCACTCTGGCCCCTGTTACCGAACCTAGAGCCAAAGAGGCATATATTATGAGGACCAAAAGCAAGTCAGACATAGAGAACAGTGAAGCTGAAATGCACTCGAACTTTGCTCGCATGTGGAGGAGGGCAGATGGCACGCCTGAACTTTTGGAAGAATCAAATTCCAGAAACCTCGATGCAGACGACGACGAGGACGATAAGTTCAAATCGCAATTTTACCTATCAAGCCAACTGATGGAGATAATTTCACCAGACTTCGCAGGCTTCCGGGAGCATGTGCTTTGGCTCTATCCATCTCTGGCAACCAGCCACAGCTACCTGGTTGACCGCATCGCCCACCATCAGGTTTCTCGATACAAAGCACTTCTCGATGCCAAGGTTAAACATATAGAGCTTGGTGAAGATTGCTCAGGCGGATTTCTCTGTCCTGTACGTGGTGGTCATTCTGTTCTGCCTGGCCAGGAGAGAGATATGCAAGACATCGGTCCGTTATTCAGTGCCCTTGGACCTCAGCCTGACTCAGGCTATGTTGAGGGTTATCTTCCTGAACAAAGCTTCCCGCCGGGCATTCCGCCACCGCCTGCAGGATATCTTCTGGCTAAAGTCGAATGTCAGCTCTGCTTCCGCTTGAAGAAGATTGACAAGCCTTCTGACTGGACGAAGCACGTCCATGAAGACGTACAGCCCTTCACTTGCACTTGGCCCCGCTGCCGGGAGCATAAGACCTTTAAGCGCAAGGCCGATTGGGTGCGCCACGAGAACGAAGCCCACCGTCACCTTGAGTGGTGGACATGTGACATGGAGGACTGCCGGCACACCTGTTACCGCCGAGACAACTTCCTACAGCATCTTGTGCGCGAGCACAAGTTCATAGAGCCTCATCGCCAACCGAAAGTCGCCATGAAGCGTGGAGGACTTGATCCGACGTGGCAAAAGGTCGAACAATGCCGCCAAGAAACACCCGCAAGGGCACAGGATGAGCCCTGCCGGTTTTGCGGTCGACAATTCTTGACGTGGAAGAAACTGACGGTCCACTTGGCCAAGCATATGGAGCATATTAGTTTGCCTATCATTCGCCTAGTTGAGTATCAAGACATGAAGCGGGAAACCATGGCTTCTGTGCATGATTATGAGCAGAGGGCCCCTTTCAGCGCACCAGAGCAGCCATCCCACCCTCATTCAGCGGTCGCCAGTCTCCCTACAGACTCTGGTTACGCATCTGTCCCGAAATCGAAGAGTCCGAAGCCCAGCGTCGTGGAACCTCTGAATTGTCCGATTGACGATAATGCCACCGTCTGTACAGACAGACAGGAGCTTCTCTTGCCGCCGAGCCAAAAGTCTGCCTATGTAGAGAAGTTTGCCGACCTCCTCCATGGCGTCATACCTTTGGACGATAGCCGAGAGCTCTGGCTGGAGAGGTCATTGACCCCTATTTTGAAAACATTCGCCATCAGACTTAGTTCTACCGCGGCAGAACCTGAGGCTAAAGATATCAGCACGTTTGTTAGACACTATCGCAAGTAAGCAACCAGGAACAGTAACCAATGATACCCGGTCCAAAGCTGACCAAGTGAAACAAGTCGCATAGCCACGAGGCTGAAACAGCACATTCTCGACGAAATTTACCCAGATGGGTATTCATCAATGAACTCTGAGCCAAACACGCAAAATCAACGTGAGAATGTCTACGACAGTGCCTCACTCACGTTCCAGGAAAAGGTGTTGCGGTGGGACTTAACGGAACCCGACAGGTTAGGACAAGGAGAGAAATCGGTAGACAATGAATCTTCCGAGGACTCCGGAGGGGATGACGAGGAGCCAGGGTTTCCCGAGATGGATGACACGGTCGACGTGCTGAACGAGAAATTCGCCAGCTACAGGGAAACACTACTCGCGACTACGGCCTTCTCTTGGCTTTTGTCCGAGTTTGAAAAGCAAGGAAGGCTGGATTCGGACAATACGACAAGTATCGACACCATTAGGGCCTTTGTACGAACGACTCTGAGCGGTCCTAAGGGTATGACCACAAGAGCTGCATTGTCCGTTCAACACGCCGACTTTGAGCTCCATTGGGACCCTGTCCACTTTGCCGAACAGCAAGGCTACCCGGACGTCGCGGCCCTTCATAATGCACTAACTATCAGTGGCTCTGCAACGAATGCGCAACTACTACCTTGCTTATCGTATCTCAGACAATGTTGGCCACTTTTGGGAGAAGATGTTCTGTCGGGTCTTACATCCTCATTAGCTGGGGGCACCGAAACAAATGTGGAAAGTATGTCTCCAAGTTCAGTAAAGAATGTGGATCGCAACCGTAACGTTACAGATGCTGACGTTCGTAGAATCACTGTACGATGGCACCGTCGTATCATATCGTCTTTATGGTACAGACCACATTATCAGTTGCACGGGGATGGTTGACTCGATCGTCGACGTCGCAGAAGTACTGGCATGGCTTGGATCCGCTCTACGTGAGGCCGGGTCAAAGTACAAGATAGCCTACATCACGCCGCATATATCCTGCGCCTCCAAAACTGGAAGCTCATTCACAAATCTTGATCCATCTGAGAAGACCCGGTTTGTATTGAGATTCGAGGAGCAAGACACGGAATACCGGGAAACGAAGGTTCCTAACGGCCTATGTTGGTTTGGCCTTTTCGGGAACCCTGTCATAGCGAGGGGGTTTCCTGTCCTCCGTCGCGGTCACGACTTTGACGGCTTGGAAATTCCGCTACCCGTCATGGCATATCTGGCTGATGCTAACAAGCTGACCCTGTTCAACAACCAGGTTCTCCTCAAGGGGTTCAACGTGGCCCTGGTCCCTTCCTCTCGTTCAGGGGACATCATTGCTTGGCACCTTGTTATGAACAAAACTGGAGAACGGTTGCCTTATTACGATGATCGAATCCTGAAACTCAAGACGCAAGATGAATCCATTTCGATGTGGAACGTACATGGTTCACGGCATGTTCTGGGCTGGACATCTGAGGCATTATGCAATATCGGTAGGCCCACGTCAAGGATGACAGAAGTTGTGCCGCAAACTAACCTTGATTGCTTGAATCTCACAGGCTCCCCTGACGCCAACTACCATGATCTATGGACTGACCCGGACTTCGTTCGTCCTGGCTTTGTGTTAGAGAAATTCATCGTACAAGGTGGCCCGGAGTTCCTCACCTTTGGTGTCGAGATAGCAGTGGGCAAAAAAGACCCATCACCTGCCATCAGGCGTGGAAAGGATAGTTACCTCGAAAGTCTCGAGCTACTCGAAAACGAGTACATTGTTCTCTATGATACCGGTACCCGCCAAGCCTGGCTTTCAAATGGCGTCAATGCTTTATTGCACCTCGTCAGGGCATCACTCAAAGAGAACCTCGTGGGCTCTTCCAGCAGGCACTACATCTTCACCGACTCGAAGCTTCGCGAGAGCGCAGATCCCTGCAGCTCGAGGGCGGCGATGGACGTGCTCGAGGACGAAGACAATCTGCAAATGCCAATATTACGGCCAGTGTTTCGGGGCACTGGCCTAGGAAGCGGCCGGTCTGAAATTCCAAGCCTGTTCATCGACCGGGTGAACCAAATCCGCCTCTGCCTGGAACAGCTGCTGGATTTCCAGGCGCAGGTCAACACCCCGGGAATGCCGTTACACCTCGCACCCAGGAGCCAGCTTGAGGGCTATGTCTTCATGGACATCGCCACTAGACAGCGCCCTAAACCCCGGTTTGTAAATATGAGACAATCCAAGTTCAGCGGGAACTCGTGGGTGGACTTCACAAGGACCATCGGGGCCATTACGCTCTTCGGGCACGGGTTCGGCAATCTCATCACTCCAGCACCAGGACTGGCGGGGTTGTGCGATAACTGGCGCCTCCTGCCAGAAGGCAAAAACTTCCTCGCCGTCAGCAATTACGATCTGATGAACATCCTGAGAAAGAGAGGACCACAGGATGCACGTCACTTCAAGCTGTGTACGGGTCTCTTCTGGCACAGGCCCGCGGAGCTATTTGAGGATTGCGTCTGCAAAAGCAGGCTCAACTGGGGCCTCCAGAGACCTTGCGACAAAGTCCAAGTCATCTTACCCGCGACCTCTTTGAGAAAGCTCGGTGGAACAACTCCGCCCGGTCCACTCGATCCTCGCGGTGCCGTCATCTTTGGCCACAGCTCGCGGTTTCCATGGAGGCTACCAGACAAAGGCGACATCGAGAAAGACAATGAGCCGGAACAAGTTACGGACGACTCTCAAGAGAGTGTTGCTGCAACTAGAGTCTCGTCTCCTTCAATCTTCTCTTCGCCCCCTAGTCAGGATGCTTCGACCGTACCAACACAGGATACCTCTCAAACCGGAATCACAACGGCACTAAATATGGAAAAAGCAAGCATTCATCAAGATCTGCAAACAATGCAGGATGATCCCATGACTATAGACGGAAGCGAGGTTCATGCCAAGGAATCTAACAGATCTATTAAACGAAGATGGCGGACCTTCATGGAATGGACCGGTTCTTCGGGACAAGCCTCAGGCAGTGGCAAGAATTAAGTATTACATGGTTCAGGGAATGAAGAAAGAAAACGGTTTAGCCAAATGAGTCAGTGCATTACATCTCTGAACTTTCAGTCGACGTCGCTATAACGAAAATGATAGACGGCGGAGTATGATGAGTTTCCATGAGCATGATCCACGCCAATGAGCCAACCGGACGGCGACGCAAAGTGATAATTATGATATACGTTGGAAACAGAAAAAGCATCTCGAGTCCAGACTTTGCTGCAAACCTCTACCGGAGAGCAACTCAAGACTCCGTGTAATATGGAAGCTACTAGTAGGCGTAAAACAAAATCGCCTCCTGGTTACTCTGTCGAATCTTCCTATTCTCCTTGACGAGCATCCACCTCATCAACCACGCGCCTGCGGTGCACGCAACGCAAAAGGCCGCACTGCTGGCCATGGGAATGACATACCTCGGGGCGTCCGACGTCGGCCACAAGTACTGCAAGTGTCGTTAGCAAAGTCGCACACACCGCTCGGCGCTGACGAGAACGCATCAGGCAGAGTCTTACCGGAGTCCAGATGAAGCTGATACTGGCGCTTGTGTTGACAATCGCCAGCGCCGAGGCCTTCTTCTCCTTTGTCTGCCCGCACGTACTTCCGACCCAGCTGAGCAAGCTAACACATGAGGGTATAAAAGTCAGCAACCACCTCGGCGCCAAGACTAGAAACACGGCAGGGGAAAACAGATAGACGACTAACATCGAGTTCACCCCGTACGTCCCGACGGTGAAGACGACCATGGCGAAGTACCGAGCCCCCGTGTTCATCGTCGCGCACGCCAGCACGAACCCGAAGAGCGCGACGCCCTTGGCGATGGTGATGTGCCACGTCCGCTCGTTGCGCCGGCCCGAGCTCCACGCCCACGCGATCGACAGCGCGCCGGCGATGAGATACGGCGGGCACGTCAGCACGAGCGTGATGGTCGTGCCGAAGTCGAGCGTCTCGACGATGGTCGGGAAGAAGTTCTTGAAGCCGTTGGTCGCCAGGTGCATGTGCTGCATGTAGATGAAGACCCAGACCTTGGGGTCGACGACGGCCTCGCGCAGGCCCGCCCACGTGCTGCTCGGCACGCGCGCGGCTCCGACCGTGTCGCGCTCGATCCGGGCGTGCGCGAGCTGCCGCTCGGCGGGGGTGAGCCAGCGCGTCGTGAGGGGCTCGTCGGGGAGCGTGAAGCAGGCCGCCAGGGCGATGGCCAGGGTCACGGCGCCCTGCAGGATGAACAGCCATCTCCAGCCTTCGAGCCCGTGGGCGCCCTCGAGTCCGTGGAAGACGCCGGCGGCGATGAGCCCCGCAAAGGCGGTGGCCAGGATGTTGCCTGAGTAGAGCACGCTGATGCGTGTCGCAAGCTCCTTGCGGGTGTAGAATATAGACAGGATGTACAGGGCGCCGGGGTAGTAGGGCGCCTCGACGACGCCAAGGAAGAAGCGCGTGAGTATGAGGCCTTTGTAGTCCCGGACGACGGCGGTGAGGGCGCTGATGACGGCCCAGGCCATCATGAAGCCGCCCATGTACCAGGAGGGCCGGACGCGGGTGAGGACCATGTTGCTGGGGATCTGGCCGAGGATGTACCCGACGAAGAGGATGGAGACGCAGGTCGAGTACTCAACGCTGCTGAGGCCGAGTTGCTTCTCGAGGCCGTTGAGCCGGGCGAGGGCGATGGCGTTGCGGTCAAGGTAGCTGGACGGCGTTAGCTGCGTTGGCGGAGGGTGTCTCTGACTAGGAGAGGGCTTTGCTTACTTGAGCCAGTACATGAGCCATAGCGTTGGCTAGTAAAGACGAGTTAGATGGAACACTGCGAGGAGTTTCGAGGGGGGCTCACCATGATCCAGAGGTCCAGTTTCCTCACAAGCTTGATTTCAGCAGGATCAGTCTTGGCCGCGGCTCCGGAGTAGTCGACCGCCGTGGGAGGCTTCTTCTCGTCATCCAACACTTGAGAATGTTCCTGGTACAAGGCCTGCTGCTTCTCGATATCAGGCGCAGACTGAGCTCGCTGCCCCGCGGCGAAAGAGTCCGTGTGAGACGCCATATTGAACAAGGGACTGCCGACTTCTGCAAGAGTTTAGAAGCGTATCAACCTAGATCGAGTCAAATGGAAGCTTAAGAAGGACAAGGGGGATCGAGCCTGTATTTGTTCTCGGGGCTGTACACTTTAGGAGGCCAGGGATCTCGACACCTTCGTTTTCCCCGCAACAGCCCCGGATCTGAGATCCTTGGCCACCGCGGGGTTCCCAATGGCCATATGCGTGAAATAGCCGGGGTCCATACCACTGGATCCAAAGTGACGGTACCACAGTGTGCTACAATCACTGCGGAGGGACGAGTTGGCAAACGTTTGCTTCGGCCAACGGCGCCGAAGGCCGAAAAAGGGCAGACGGTACAACCCCAGTGGAAGAGGGACACTTGTGGACCAGATGCGTCGTCCCTTATCCGATCATCCATGGAACCAATGGGATCAAGTGCTACCGAGATGCTCGCATGTCCCAGCTTAACCCACGGCAAAGTGTTGAGAAGCTGGAACTGACAGGATGAGCCTCTGTGGGGTGTGCTCTCGGCCTCGGCGCCGCTTCCCACAGGTATACGCTTATGCATGCTGCACTCGTAGTTGGACACATTACCCTGGTCCCGCGGCTTGATACCCCGAATCACAGAGCCATTGTTAGGTCGTTCAAGCACTATCTCGACAACTTTGGAGGACATGCAGACAGAACAAGCCCGCCAAGAAGTACATGGTCCTTGGCTCGGATAACGATCCATCATCGGCGAAAGTTCACGACGCCACATAGATCAGCATGTTCCACGTAGTTAATTCTTGTGACTTTGTGCCTCGAATAATTCCATCAGAACGTGTAAACTAGACTCGGCTTGGACTATATACGAAACCTCCCAAACGCTACGCCTTCTTTCCGGCAGCCTTACTCTTCCTCGAACGACCTCTGTGCTGCTCCTCGAACCCTATTCCCCCCTTTGCCCTTCCCGGAACCCAAAAGAAGCTCCAAACATGATCGAGAAGCCGCCCATCAGGATCGGAAACGTCTCCGGCGCGACAGGCGACCACCCGCACGCCATGGCACGCATGATCCGCTCCGGCAACGTCCAGGTCATCACGGGCGACTGGCTCTCCGAGATGAACATCGCCTGGAACGCCATCGCCAGGCGCGACGTCGACCCGGGTCTCGGGTACGAGAACGGCTTCTACGAGCAGCTCGAGGCGTGCGTCGACGACGTCATGGCCGGGGGCATACGCGTCGTCACCAACGCCGGGGCACTGAACACCGCCGCGCTGTTCGACAAGGTTAAGACGCTGTGCAGGGCGAGGGGGCACCCCGAGAGCGCGGTCGCCGCGGTGCTGGGGGACGACGTGTCGGGCCTGCTGCGGCACGGGTCGGGACGGAAAGACCTGACGTTTCCGCACCTGGACCATCCAGGTACCACGCTCGATGACTGGGGCTTCGAGCCCTGCTGCGGCAACGCGTACATCGGATGCTGGGGGATCGTCGAGGCCCTGAGGGCGGGTGCGCGCATCGTCATCTGCGGCCGATGTACCGATGCGTCGCCCGTCATGGGCGCCGCGGCGTGGTACTACGGTTGGCGGGAAGACCAGCACCAGGAGCTCGCGGGGGCGTTGCTGGCGGCGCACCTGATCGAGTGTGGGCCGTACGTGGTGGGCGCCAACTTCTCCGGCTTCAAGAACTTCCTCCCAGAACTCGTCGACCTTGCTTTCCCGGTTGCCGAGATTGCTCGCGACGGAGGGTGCGTCATAAGTAAGACGGTGGAGGGTGGCGGGCACGTAACCCGGCACACGGTCACGGCCCAGCTGCTGTATGAGCTGCAGGGACATCTCTACCTCAACCCGGACGTGGTCGCCGACCTCTCGGACGTTCGCGTTGAGGAGCAGAAGGGCACGGGAGAAGATCGTGTGCGCGTTTGGGGCGCCAAGGGGCTGCCGCCTCCGCCCACCACCAAAGTCATGTTCGCAGCGGAAGGCGGTTATCAGGCCGAGGCCACTTTCTACATTAATGGACTGGATGTGGATGAGAAGGTGGCCATGATGAAGAACCAACTGGCTCATCTCTTCAAAGACGCCAACTTCAGCCGGCTGAGCATCGAGCAGTACGGCACGCAGGTGCGGAATCCCAGCTCACAGCAGGCCGGCACTGTGCAGCTTCGGGTGTTTGCGCAGGCGCGGAAGAAGGAGGACATCGCAGCCGTCAATTTCAAGGTTCCGATATACGCCGTGCGGATGCAGAGCTATCCCGGCTACCACATGTCGCTGGACTTCCGAACGATGGACCCAAAGAGGTTCATGGAAATCTTCCCGGCGTTGATACCGCAGTCGGCCATCGACCATCGTGTTCTCTTAGGTACGGGGGGGTCGATAGCTATCCCGCCGCCCGGAAACACCGCAACGTACAAGGTTCTTCGACCGTCTGCTGATACGACAGATCCCGTAGACCTGGTCTCACTGGGCCCCACGGAGTTTGCGCCGCTGGGCAGCATAGTCCACGCACGGTCTGGCGACAAGGCCGATAACTCCAACGTCGGTTTCTTCGTTCGAAACGAGGACGAGTATCCTTGGCTCCGGACGCTGTTGACCGTCTCCCGTCTGAAGCAACTGCTTGGCGATGACTGGTTCAAAAACAATCCGGATCGGAGAGTGGAGCGCGTTGAGTTTCCCGGCATCAACGCCGTGCACTTGTAAGTATCGTTTGCTGTCCAGTATGATTAAGAGCTGAATAATGGTCAACTAGCCGTATCCTCGATAACTTGAACGGAGGTATCGCGTCTTCCGATCGCATAGACGGTCTTGGGAAAGGTATTGCAGAGTACTTGCGAAGCAGGTACATTGATGTGCCACGAGCTTTCCTTCAAAGAGGTCGGATATAAAGGTTAGATTAGATGATAGACAATATAGATTCCTGTAACCCTGGGTATGATAGCTTGTGACCATGGAACTTGCTGGTATGTCCATGTCCTCCTAAAAGTAACGGCTCGGAGTCTCTCCCATTCCATATAGCCAATCTTGCGAAAGCTGGGCAATGGCATCGCTGTGGTGTTGATCGTAGCAGATGCTCTGGAGGTCCTCGAAGCAGTCTCGCAGAGTCTCGTCAACCGTCATGTTCACGAAGCTGTGGCTGGGTGGTGCATACATGGTATCCTCCGTGTTCAATTCCATGGGAGATACCTGCATGTGTCTTTCCATCTCGCTCGTGGGCTGGACTGTATATGTTGAACCAGATATTGTTGAAGCGCGGCCGGTTTGGGCCTCGACAATGTCGGCAACAACAGCATCGCTGAGACGATCAAAGACTTCGGAGCAGTTCCGCGCCATTGCCCACCGCTCCGATACCGCCACCAAAACCTTTGAGCAGGCACGCGTGTCGTTAACCACTTGGCTAATGGTCGGGGTGGACCGCAAAGTGGCCTTGGGTATGGCCGTGTTCGAAACACTTCGGTTCTGCGCGTGCTGTAGATGATTACGCAAGGCGTAGATATAGGACAATCCGGCGATGAAGATGGAGTGCAATGTCACCCAGGAGTAGTTGATCTTCCTCGAGCGGTGGAGGGTGGCGTAGAGATTGATCGCCTCCTGTGACGAATCAAACATGTGCTGTAGCACGGTGCTATTTCCCGTCGCATCACAGAGAGTCGAAGATGGACGAAACAGCATCAAAATGCCGTTGTGATAGAGCAGCTTGTACCACTCGGCGGAACGGAAACTCGATCTACTCGCGAGTGAGGCAGTTGGCGCATCGCCTGGGATCAACGGTATGTTGGCTGTTTCCGCGCGCCAGGACCGCAGCTCCTCGACCACAGCGTTCCGGCTATTCTCGTATGTGATGGTGGACTCTTGGTTGGCGCTGGTACTCCGGTGTAGAAGGTTGAGAATCTTACCACAAATCAGCCTATACCGTACGATGTGGACGAATATGGAGGTGTCGAGGTGCCACTCAGGAGCACCGAACGATGCCTTCGACAGTGAGGGATGAAGTGGCACTGAAGTTGGCGTGTCGAAATGAGGGAGTTCGACATCAATGTCCTCCAGCTGAATGGCTAGTGGTCGGCCGAGGATGAGGCTGGCAATGCGGTCCATAGACACCACGCTCCAAAAACATCTCCGCTTGGTCTCTACATCCTCTTTCCAAGCGGCAACATCTCCCTCGCTGCCGTCACAAGCCGGCGGAGGGGTATAAGTCGACGCCTTGTGCAAGCCAAGCTCGAAACAGGTCCTCGCGGCCACTCCGATAAGGTGCCATACGCTGGTGCTCGTGTCATGTGAAGTGGTGCCCATCCGAAACTGACAAATGAGGAGTAACGCCTGCAGTGCAGTGATGCCCCCTCTGGAGAGGACGTCTCCAAGTCGTGTCATGGCGCGATTGTAGTGAACTTCGGCGTCCCAGATGCCATTCCAATTTAGCTTGTGTACTTGCGCTGTCCCTATCGCAAGGATCATGTCTATCAGGAAGCCATCGACAGGATCTGCAGCTCCGGGGTTTGCGTCGTAGACAGCGTCTAGGGCCCTATCTAAGGCTTTAGGAGACAGAAACGGGTAACAAAGTCGGTCGTGACTGCAATAAGCGTCCAGTATCTCTGCGGTGAGGCTTTTCGGTGGCAGATTAGAAACCCCATTAGTTGCCAAGCTTCCTGGTCGATTAAGATGACGGGAGGCTGAACTGGGATGTTGACGGACAACATGATTAGAAGATCCAATAGACTGGCTATGAGACTGCAGCAAGTTGGCGAGGAACAAGCCGCTCGTCGAACCGACAAAGTCCCGGCCGCCGCCAGCGTTAAGTGACAAGTGGATGACCTGGCTCGCGATCTCTCCGCTCCCGGCCGGCACCTGGGCTTCTTCGGACTGCATACCCAGGCTCGACGTCGAGTTCGGGGTAGCCAGTCTGTCGCCGGCGACTGCTTGCTGCGGTCGCTGTTGGAGACCGGCCAGTCTCTCCGTCAGGTTGTCGTTCTCGGCCTGCAGGTCTCGTATATGCTGTTGAAGCTTCTCAACATCCTGTCGTCGAAGCTGAATCTGTTGCTCCCTTGCTGCGTATGTGCACTGGACGCTGATCCTGGCACATGGCGCGCAGGACGGCCGTGTGCGGTCGCATTTGACCTTTCTGCGGTGGCAGCGCAGGCATGCGCCGGTCCGACTGACGGAGCCAGGCGGCATCGAAGCTTAGGCGAAGTGACGAGAAGGCACAAGGTAGGATTCGGTATCGATATTCGGCAGTTTAGGCGCCATTGTTGGTTGAAATATCCATGATAATGTGATTGAGGAGTTGCCGAGGAACCCTGGGTGGATGATGGAAATGGACCCATGAAGGTGGGAAGAAGAAGTCCGGGGTAATCAACCACCCCGCCTCTTCCTCCACCGGCTGGTGGATCTCCCCAGATCCCCCTCCCAAACTCCTTGGCAGTAAAGTGCTACAGCAATGCGAGGGGTGTTGACGGGCAAAAGCGCATGCAGAAAAGGGAGTTACAATGTTGTTGAGCACGCAATCTATCAATTAGGTGCTACCTCTTAAATATGTCAACTTGATGCTATCTCTAAATCATATGTCCAATTGTTTGCGCGCCGTGTACCCTACAAGTCCGCTCTGTTATCAACACCATCAAACCCTCATGCATTCACGCCGTTCAACTTCGATGTACTATACACGCCTCCGTTATGTATTCGAGAAGGATCGGAAACTAGCGGCGGCCTAGATGAAAAGCTTGCTGCCATGGTACTTGACGTCCTGTGCATAGGTGGAAGCAGCAGACGCCTTGGTGCGCTCAGGGAAGCCCTTGAATGACATGGCATAGGTGGCGACGGAATGGGAGACCAGCTGCACGGAAAGTTAGCATTGCAATAGAGGCCTAGAATGGTGCAGGATATACCTTGGTGTTAATCTCCCAGGCGGTCAGGTTGACGTTGCTAACATCGTCACAGAGCTGGTGGTAGCACGGGTCATACCAGTCGCCGGCCTTGCCGCCGAACAGCTTGGCCTCCTCCTTGGTCTTGACGCCCTCTGCGCCAGTAGCAATTCCGCCACCGGGGATGCCATTGCGGATGAAAGCGTCGTAGTCGCTACGGCCGTCAAATGGAATAAAGGTGTAGGGGAGGTCGTGGGCCTTGTACCAGTCAACGTACAAGTCGCGCAGCTCCTCGGAGCCGGTGGGGTTGACAGCGTTGGTCGCATTGTAGATCTGGTAGGCGTAGTTGGGGCTGCCGAGCATGTCATAATCCATAAAGAGACGGATCTTCTGGTTCTCCTCGGGAGACAGAACCGAGACGTAGTAGTCGGAGCCCAGAAGCCCTTCCTCTTCGCCAGCCCACCAGGCGAAACGAACGCAGTTGTTGACGCTGAACTTGGTGAGCTGAGTAGCAATCTCCAGGAGACTCAAGCTGCCGGAGCCGTCATCGTTGATGCCCGGGCCCTCGGCAACGCTATCGCTGTGGCCGCCGAGCATGACACAGTTGTCCTGGTCGCCCTCGAGCGTCTGGGCAAGAATGTTGGTCGTCTGGATCGTGTTGACGACGGCATCAATGTAGGCGATGGCGTCGACAGAGTCGCCCTTGTGGAGCTTCTCAAGAATAGGCTTGGCATCGTCGCCGCCGAGACCAAAGGTGGCGACGTGGTTGGGAGAAGGGGTGCCGAGAGTGCCGTGGACGGTCTCGCTCTCGTAGTTGTAGACAACGGCAGCGATGGCGCCGGCCTTGCCAGCCTGCTCGCTCTTGGCGCCGAATGCGCAGGTGCCACGGCGGATGAAGGCGATGTTGCCGCTCACTTCAGAAGGGTAATCGGAGGCATCACAGCCATCGTTCTTGACGTAAACGAGGTCGCCGTGCACGGGCTCCTTATTCTTGGTGGGCGGCGTCAGGGCCATAGGCGCGGCCGACGCGGGCACCGTGTCGCCGATAACGAGACGAGACTCGAAGACATTGCCAGAGACGGCGGGGAAGGTTTGGTTCCAGACCTTGTAGTAGTCGCTCAGCTTGGCGAGGTTGAAGTAGATGTAGTCCAAAGTTCCAGCATGACCTGGCTCGACGGTAAGCATAAATGAAGTGGAGTTGACGGGGCGGCGACCTCACCATCGCTGCCAATGACGCGAGTGGGATGGTTGTACTCTTCCTCTCCCAGCTTGGCAATCTCATAGAGCTCCTTCGCACGCGAGAGGAGGTTTTCGGCGCTGATGGTATCTTGGAGAGCCTTGGTCTCGACCAAAGGTTTCTTGGAGGAGGACGAGGACGAATACGAGGACGCGGTCGAGGGAGAGGTTGAGACGAGAGGCACTTCGTCGGCAATCATCGGTGCTTGCTGGCCAGGGACCTGCGCTTGCATCTGCATCTGCAGGGCGGCCGCGCCACCCAGCACGGCCAGTCCGGCCAATTGAAGTCGGCGAGCTCCAGCCATTGTGTTTTTGTGCACGTATTCTCTGTTTCTTGGCCCAAACCTTGTGATGCTGAGATGAGAATGGGATGAGGTTTGGGAACTGTGTGTCACAGGTGTCAGGCGCGACTCAGTTGGGAGCTGTTGCGATAGGCGGCCGATATCGCGAATCAGTTAGTCATGGAGCCGAGGCCCCACTTCTCAGTAGGGGTATAGTTCTTATCTTATCTGAAAATGCTTATATAAGACATCATCCGATAAGACATTCCATTGAGGAAGCGGAGACTTTAAACGTGCCCAGGAGCCCCTCGCTTCGCTACAATTACGTTAATTTGCACAGATTGCACCTGTCAATGTGCTGCTGCAGGGGGGCTCCGACCCCTGTTCTCCAGCAAATCCAAGGGGCTAAGCGGGCTGCCTCCTCCCCCAGATACGGTGATGCGCATGTTTCCATCAGGGGAAATTCGAGACACAGTGTACCAAGGAGAATCTTGAAGCCTCCAGACCTAGGCGCTCCGCCTCCCTGGACTGTGTGCTACGTAGCATGTTTGCTTGCGTCTTTCTAAACTTTGCTGTGCCTGCTCACGACGAGCCTCCCAAAAAATACACTTCTTTCGGGTCCCAGACTTGGGACGAAGGCCAGGCCCAATCCACCATCCAGTTTCGCTTGGCCACTCACTTCTCTGTGGCTTCTTTCCTTCGTTCCCTTCCTCTGCATGGTCTCTGTGCAGAGTCGCCATGGTATTGAGCCAGAAATCATTGCTGTCAGCTGTCCAGAATGGGTGATACCGAAGCTTCGGGAGTGTGGGCACGAGGTGTGTATTGATTGCTACCAGTTTCCTGCCAGAGATGGCTCCGGCGTTCGCTGGGGTGCTGAAGCCCGAAATAGCTTGATGGTGGCTTTGTTGGCTGACTTGATCCTCCTTTTCCTGTGCAGATGCCGCCTCCTGGGCCTCCATACCGACCGAACTCCTCCTCGCTGAGCTCTCGAAAAGACACGGTCATGGTGGTGCTGCCAAAGCAGAAGTGGCTGCCAAGCCGCAGTGCGGTTCTTCGAGTAAAGAATCTTACGACACCGCGTTGCACATTGGTGCCCTCATCCTGATATTGGCGTTGAGCACGATCTGTAAGTGACGCCTTGCGCTTCTATGGGCAGTAGACCGCCCCATACCGAGGCCATGATGATGGACGGGACACCGAGGCTATGCTCTGGAACTCCATGTCGACATCGTACCCCTTGAAGTCGCGCGTCGAAATGTCAAAGGTCACTGCTAACCAGCTTCCAATAGCTTGCGGCATCCCCCTTCTTCCTCGAAGGTCATCGAAAGGCCGCCCCCAGAGTAGAATCCTCTTCTACTGTCAACACTTTGGCACCGGCGTGCTCCTCGCGACATCCTTCGTCCATCTTCTCCCAACAGCTTTCGCCTCCCTCACCGACCCTTGCCTCCCCTACCTCTTCAGCCAAGGCTACACGCCGATGGCCGGCTTGATCGCTCTGGTAGCCGCACTCTCCGTTGTCGCGCTCGAGTCCTACTTGGCAACCCGGGGTGCCGGCCATTCTCATTCACATTCACACGAGTACGAGTACTGGAGCGAGGAAGGCGGCGCCCAATCTCCCGTCGGAAACCGACAAGCGACAGCAAGCATGGCATCACACAGACACGGCTCTCATCGCCCGGAAGATATCAACCTCGACAATATGGATCCTACTCAAGGGCTGATGGCCGGCGCCTCGCCTCTGCCCAGTTCGACGCCGACACAAGCGAAAGCAAAAACCAGGCTCGCACACGGACGTGACAGCTTCGACGACACTGACGACGAGGACGAAGACATTGACCTCGACGTCAACGAGTTGGACCCCGTGACTACCGGTGAGCCCAGAGGACGACCAAGCTCGCCCGGTAGCCGCCCCAAGATTGCAGTCACGCCGGGCGCACCCCACATTGTCACAAAAGAGGAGCAAAGCAAGCTTCTTCGGCAGTGTCTCCTGTTGGAGGGTGGCATTCTCTTCCACAGCGTCTTCATCGGCATGGCCATCTCGGTAGCTACAGGCCCGACCTTCATCGTCTTTCTCATAGCCATCAGCTTCCACCAGACGTTTGAGGGGCTTGCCCTCGGAAGCCGCATCGCCGCAATCCAGCTGCCCAGGTCGTCGCTTCGTCCGTGGCTTATGGTTCTCGCGTTCGGCGGGACGACGCCGCTCGGCCAGCTCATCGGCTTGATCGTACATAATATGTACGATCCCATGAGCCAGACCGGATTGTTGATGGTTGGCTTCATGAACGCTATCTCGGCGGGCTTGCTCCTCTTCGCTGGGCTTGTGCAACTACTGGCGGAGGATTTCCTCTCAGAGAAGAGCTATAAGCTTTTGCAAGGCAGGAAAAGGCTTAATGCTTACATGGCCGTGGTTGGCGGAGCGTCACTGATGGCCTTGGTAGGGGCGTTTGCTTAATCTATAAATAGATACGTCAGCAATTTTTTTAACTTCTGCCACCAATACAGACTTATTATTGATTAAAGACTTTTGTTCAGCCCACTGCCGTCCTTCGAAGCAGCCTCAACAAATTTAACTTCGGGAGAATGGCTACCTATATCAGCGTCTGTTTGGGTCGGCTGTAGCCGGATGCGAATTGGACAATCCAGAGCAAGTGAAACTCGTATTCGCAAATGGTTCAGGTCTCAACCACAAGACGCAAACAAGTGATGGCTAAAGGATTGATTAATGATCGAGTAGCCCACGCGACGATCCAGGATACCACGTAGTCGCACCCTGAACGAGAGAGAGGCAGGGAGAAAAGAGACAACAACCAACCACCAAAAAAAAGCAAAAGAATAACCCGAAGAGTGGCTGTGCCAATCGCGGTGAGGATTTGAGCCTCACGCGGGGGTCGAACCCGCAACCTTGAGATTAAGAGTCTCACGCTCTACCGATTGAGCTAGCAAGGCGGGTTACTGGAGCTGATCCGAGGGACCAGCTGTTGTTGGATACCGGATTCCGTTGAGTCATTTAACAAGGACGAGGCTCTGATTGTGAAGAGAGATTTTTTTTTCCTCTGCCGTGGGTCCCGTTCCGTGCTCTCCGGGTCTGGGGTCCGGGCACACCGGCCCACATCCAAGGACCAATGGGCCTGCCTGTCCTTGCCCACCATTTCACTTCACAACAGTCTAGTGCCATCTCAGTACGAACTCGATGTGGTTTGAACTAATCGAACCTACATATTGTGTATATACATACGGAAGAACGCGATTTGATCTAATCGCCCAGGTTAGGGATCAATTCACTCACCCTCAAATACGGCTATGGGCTTCTCCTGAGGACCCTGGTTGGCGGTATCACCGAAAGAAGCTCCTTCGCGAACGCAGCCGCCGTCGCGGCGGCGTATCCCTGCCAGTTCTTGTTCTTGTGGGAATCCGCGTAGTCGCAAATGCCGCGGATCACCAGACAAGGGAAATCCTGCAGCCCCGCGGCCTCCATCTCGAAGCAGAGCACGCCTAACTCTCTGCTAAGCCTGTCGCGCATCTTGGCATCCTTGATGACCTGGTTGCCCGAGGCAATGTTCCCATAATGACTGACTGGATCCGTGCCGTCTCTATCGTTCCGCTTGACTGTTTACGACCGATCACAACACTGTTCGCAGGTTGAGTCTAGGTTGACGTGGCCGTAGCCTGCATGGAAGAGGTGGTCGTTGGCAGCACCTTGATGGCTAAATTTCTTCTTCATCTTTTTTGGGCTTTTGCTGACAAGTTCCTCCAAGAATTGGGGGATCATGCTATCCTCAACCGGGTGGTCGGCCTGAAGACGACTCAGGCCAGCTAACAGGACCTGGGGCGGCGCGTTAAGTGATCCCGTACGCTGGAACTCCCCATCCTGCACTGTTTTCCCCCGGTCGTACTGGATAACACCTCCACTGGTCCCAGATGGTTAGCTAACCACAATGTCGCCCAGTCGGATGTCTTGTTTCTGTGACTGCGATGGCGCGCCGCCCCCGATGCCAACCATCAGACCGAAGCGGATCGACTTAAAGGTCCGCAGTAGGTCCTTCGCAACCGTAGGAGCAGGCGTTGTTCCGAGATGTCTGCAGGCAGGCAGGCAATGACAACGTTATGCCCCTGGACCTGGCCTAAAACATAACTGTTGTGGTCGGCGTCATCTTGTTCGGCCAGGTTTGGGTGGACTTGATCAAGCATTCCCTTCGCGGCAGCCATTTCCAGCGGGAGGGCGCACACCCAGCCCACGGTATACTCTGCCGTGGCTATGGTAGGTACATTGGTAGTTTTGTTATCTAACACGTCGGCGCCGGTATTTCTCTCCTTGGCCCGACGTGGGGAGCCATCATTATCGAAATCTTTGAATTGAGTAGATAAAGAGGCAGGCTCACCTCCAGAGCCTTGTTGAGATTCCCGATTTCTAATCGTGAGGTGCTGACAGGTCACACAACGATTGCCAAGCTGCCAACGCCCTCAAATCTGACGTATCACGCGTGCTATAAGGCTGGTTCATTGGCATTGGACTGAGCCTCATGTAGGCTGGTGCCTCAAAGCCATTAGACGTCGCCATGGATGCCTTTTGCAAACGGGACAACGTCGTACTCCAGCTTGATGACCATTAGCGGGAGTAACAACCAAGCGGAGATACCTAATCCACGACACGTATAACTCACCAAAGGTCTTGGACGACTGGCAGATTGAAATTGGTCTGCATTCTCAAGTGCGGTATCGTGGGCTTCTTCTGCAGAGCTCTGATTGGCTGTGTCGCCGACAGAAGCTACCTCGCGAACGCAGCCAGGATTGAGATCGAAAATATAGGTCTGGATTGAAGTGGTTAATGGAGTTGCAGGAGGGGAAAATATTCCCTGACACAGTGCGGTAAGTGTACCCCTCATCGCGCTCCTTCCCACAGCTGTTTGCTTCCATCATCTTGTGAAGGGAAGCAGGCGCCGCTGTGGCGCTTGCGGCGCATTACGACGTCTGGAGAGCCATATCCTCCAGCATGATCTGAGATGTCTGTATTCTCCCTCACCCAAACTTCATTCTACCTAGCCAATGGAGCTTTAGGCGATGTAAGATCTGGATATATTGTTCGGGCTGGTGCTCATCAAGTCGCTGAGGGTTGTAGGCGTGTGGATTTCGGCGATTAGGACTGTAGTTGACTAGCAGCGCTGTTTCACTTGGGGTTGCCATTCCGAGGATGGATTCTGGTGAGGTAGAGTAGATACCTAGATATCTCCATGGTATTTCAGAAACCTTATATTGTGTTGAGCAACCTTTACGGTGAAATCTTTTTGTCAATGTGTATGGTCACTATTGTATCTGTACCTCCGTAAGAAGTAGTGAGTCACTCAAGGCGGCGAGGAAGGGGAATAAAACGCAGGCTCAGGTCTGACCATCTCGACCTACGCTTCTCTTCACTCTCTTGCACAACAACTTCCACGATCTCATCTCTTTTCCAAGTGACCACTAAGAGCAAAAGCATTACACCACCTGGGCTCTGCTTTCCAGCTGGGGAAAAGAGATATCGATATCGAGCTGTTTGATTGTAGCACACATATTTACATCATCTCTCCACCCGCCACAGGTACGTACCTACCTCACCTGTCCGAATGATTCAATGCGCCGTCGCCCGCTAAAAAGTCCAAAAGGCGGGGCAACCTTTTTTTTTCTTTTTTTTTTTCCTCTTTCTTTCCGCCGCTGCGCCGCGCCGATCATCCTGGCCGGTCGCTGTAAACCAGCCTCTGGAATCCCACCATCGTCGCCGACCCAAGTCACTCATCCACGGCCTCGTCGCAAGCTCAGAACCCGTTTGGCGCATCTTCCTCTGTTCCGAATTCCACCGCAACCAACCAATGCTGTTCAATCGTGGCTGAGCCTCTAATACCCTCGTCTTATATTTCGCAGATGTAGGCAAACACCATCGACCACGACATCCAATCCATTGTCGACGGCGAGCTCTCCCGAGGCGCAAAGGCCTCCCCCCCCGCCTCCTTTGGACAGCGCAAGGGGAAAAAAATCCCCAGGCAGAAAAAAACCCCCACCACAGAGTCGCTCGAACTTGACCACACTCCCGCCCAAACCCGTCGCCGCGCCACGAGCACCACTCCCTCGTACGAAGCCTTCCCTCCCTCCGGGAGACCTTCGCCCTCTTACACGAATCCGCCCCGTAACCAAAGACCAAGACAGACGGACGACAGAAGAAGAAAAAAAGCATAAAAGCCGTAGCTAGCCGCCGGAAATGGCCCCAACCCCTCCGGCCGCGTCGCCCTCGGCGGCCACGACCTCGAGCACCGACTCCAAGATGGAGGTCTGGAAGGAGGCCCTCTACGAGCACTTCCAGAAGGCCGGCGACGAAACCCAGCTCTTCACGCAGTACGACATCCTCGACTTCGACGTCATCCCCAACCGCGACACCGTCACCCTCCTCAAGGTCCTCCAGAGCCTCACCAACGACCGCCTCCTCATCGCCGTCTCCTCCCAGACCGGCCTCGCCTGGCGATGGCGCTCCGTCGAAGATGCCGAAAAGTCAGCCACTGTCTCTTTCTTTCCCCCTCTGTCGTACTAATGCTAACACCACCACCACCCCCAGGTACAAGCTCTGCTCGACCGACGAGCAGCGCATGGTCTACGGCGCCATCGACGAGGCCGGCGGCGACGGCATCTGGTCAAAGTCGATCCAGAACCGCCTCAACATGCACGACTCGGTTCTCAAGACGGCCCTCAAGCAGCTCCAGGGCAAAGGGCTCATCGCCCCCTTCAAGAACGTCGAGCACCCCAACAAGCGCATGTTCATCAAGGCCTCCATGCGCCCCTCGGAGCGCGCCACCGGCGGGCCCTGGTTCACCGACTCGGCCTTCGACGAGGCCTTCATCGAGGAGCTGCAGCGCGTCATCTTTGACTACGTCAAGCGCAAGAGCACCTACCTCAGCACTGGCTCCTCCTCCGCAGGGGCCACCCGCACTGCTGTGCCCAAAAAGGGCGTCCTCAAGGGCGGCCTTGACGCCAAGGCCAGCAGGAAGCGCGCCGCCGACGAGATGTCCGCCGCCGACGAGAGGAGGTCCGTCCCCGCCGTCCAGCCGCCGCCGCCGCGCAAGGTCAACCTGCCCCTACCTGCCGGCTTCAAGGAGTACCCCACCGTGCGCGAGATCGCCCGCTTCATCTCCCAGTCGGGCATCACCTCGGACACCATCCTCGGCGAGGAGGACATGCAGAAGCTCATCGACGTCCTCGTCTTCGACGGTCTCATCGAGCCCATCCGTATTGCCGGCCGCCTCGGCTACCGCGTAACCCGCGCCCCCCGCCAGAGCACCACCAACTGGGCCGCCAGGCAGGACGGCGGACCCGAGGAGGGCGGCCCCGAGCCCTTTGTCAACGGCTACACCGAGGCCCCCTGCGGCCGGTGTCCCGTCTTCGACCTCTGCGAGGAGGGCGGCCCGGTGAGCGCGAGCAATTGCGTGTATTTTGATCGGTGGTTGGGCCTGGAATGAGAGAGACAGTGAGAAAGCAGGGCGTCTGTCGGACAAAGGAGGGTTTGGGACTTGACATAAAACAGACGCGTTGTTGGTTGTCGGGGCGGGGTGGTGGGAGGGGGGGTTCATTGGGTTGACTCGATTTACATCATGGGAAAGCATTGCATTGGCGTTGGCACGATGACATCAAAAACATAGGGACACGGTCGGTATGGTTTTGCCAGGGTAGTAGATCTTTTCATCCTCCCAAGCGATATTAGTTTCAACAGCAGCCTGAGGAGCAGTGCTGCTGTGCAGATATACCAAATACATCTTTGAGCCTACAGCCTCGTCATCGTGCACGCCTATAGTCGAGGTCATCACGGCTTAAAAATAGACAAGCAAGCCATTGGAATGGTGCGGGTCACTTGTGCATCAATAGTGGCATTAACCTTTTGTCTTGGCTAGCTATGTAGCAGCAGTGAAGCTGATGGCTACCAGGCAGCGCGTTGGCGCACTTCCCAAGTCTCAGCCAAAAAAAAAATTGTCCTCCCTTCCCGTCATGGTGACTCTCGCGACATTTCAGAAGCAGGACCTAACGTACAAAGAATCGAGCCAAGGGCAATTTACAACTCGCCGGACTTGACAATGGTGGGGCGCTTGCCGTACTTGACGGTACCGCTGGAGGAACCGGTGGCCTCAAGAGCCTTGACAATGTTCAAGCCGTTCTGGTCAGCAACCTCGCCGAAGACGACGTGGCGGCCGTTGAGCCACGAGGTGACAACGGTAGTGATGAAGAACTGGGAGCCGTTGCTGCAAGGGGTTAAACTGGGGCTTCATACAAGGAATAGAGGCTAGACTCACGTGTTGGGGCCGGCGTTGGCCATGGAGAGCAGACCGGGCTTGTCGTGCTTCAAGGAGAAGTTCTCGTCGGCGAACTTCTCGCCGTAGATGGACTTGCCACCGGTGCCGTTGCCACGGGTGAAGTCACCACCCTGGAGCATGAACTCGGGGATGATGCGGTGGAAGGAAGAGCCCTGGTAGCCGAAGCCCTTCTCACCGGTGCAAAGAGCACGGAAGTTCTCGGCGGTCTTGGGGACAACGTCGTGGAAGAGGTTGAAGACGATGCGGCCGCTCTGGGCTATGGGTAGTCAGAGTCATCGGTCAGCAAAGCTCGGTGAACGTTGGCTGTGTGACGGCGAGCAACAGAAACAGGGGAAGGCGGGAGGGGTAAGTGGAAGGCGCAGAGCGTTCTTGAGCAAGGCATTGCAATGGCCGAGGCACTGTAGACGCCATTCGTGATGATTGCTCGATGGAAACCCAATGGCAGAGTGGAAAACTTACGCTGAACGGTGGAGGTGGGCTTGCCAGAGGCGTCGAGGACGGGACCCTCCCACTCAATGTCGAAGTAACTGAAAGAATGTCAGTTGCTGCGTCATTGAGAGCTTGCGATACTCGTGAGCTTGTCGGCGGGAGTGGTGGAGGACTTACACTTGGCCAGGCATTTTGTTGGATGCTGAGAAGAATCGAACGGATGGCTTGGTAGATGCAGGAATGACGGTTTGGAGAGGTTTGATGAAGGCAGAAGGTCGAGAAAAGGGCGAGGGTGAAACGGAGGAGCAGGAGAAGGTATGGCGGGGTAGGAGGGGTCGCAAAAGGGTTGGTCTCATTTTTTCAACAGCTGGGTGGAGGGGTTTATTGTTAGCGCAGGAGCTCCCCACTGCGGGTGCCGAACGAGCGAATAGCAGAGTGGGAAAGAGAGAAAAGAGGGGTGGAGAGTCACGTGAAGTGAGCTATTGCTGAGGTCAATGACGGTCAGGGAAGTACCTGCCTGACCGACCTGGATCAAGTATCCGTACCTTCCACGACGTGGTGAGTGACGGAGGGGGAGGGGAGCGTGCAGGAGGGCAGGAAGGAGGGGCTGGGTTCGGGGGTGGCGGGGAGGGGAGAGAGGGGGTAGGGTAGGAGGGGAGGCAAGGTAGAGAGAGAGAGAGAGAGAGGGTAGGGTAGGTAGAGGAGGGGCAAAGCGATCGTCTTGTCGGCTCTCTGGCTTGGTACTTTTTGGGCTTTGACCTTGGCATAGGTTTCGCCTCAGTCCAATTGATGCTGCTGTCTCTGTGCTGTAACTCCCACCTTGTCATTCTCGTCGTGCAAGAGCAGAGTGGGATGACTTCATCGAGCACCCTGGACCCCATTGAGCTTAGCTCTGCGGAAAAAAAGAGGCCGGGGAACAGAAGGACGGCATTCGGTCGATTCCCATTGCCAGGTCGCCCACCCAGCAGCAGTCGGCCATCATGGTGTCGACCAGCTGAACAGAGAGAGAAGTGGGAGTGATTCCCAGACTCAACTGCGGATTTGTACTCGCAACGACCAGAACAGTGTACTGGCTGGCTAGTAGACCGAAAGACGCAAGGCTCACGGGCATGTACCTGCTGCACCGCCCGAACGGCCTACCGCCGGTTCCTGGATAAACACGCCGCTCAACAAAGAGCAGCCAAGTACCTCGGAGCAGGACAGAGCAGAGCAGAGCAGAGAGAGCTACAAGAGCCATTGGGTAACCCCCGGTGCGGCACGGACAGGAAAGCCAATGCACGTCAAACCCCCGAGGCCGATGCTCATTGGAGCGACAGGAGAGAAGGGGTACGGAAGCTGGCACAGCTGGGTGGGAACTCGAACCGTCGGTGACGGCCAAGTTACCTTCCCCACCGGCCCACGTTGTTTCCTTGACACCTTCGGAAGCTCGTGGAATCTTGGGTAACGTATGCGGTAGAGCGGGGATGGCGTGGGCGGACGAGTGGATGGTACAGCAGCAACGAGCGGCGGTGGACAATGACATGACAAACAGGAAAGGAGGTGTAGCGAGTGCATCGGGCATCTGCAATCAGCTTCGCCAGCCCGCCCAGAGGCGATGCAGCAGCTTGAGCTCGCGCTTTGCTTGAAGCTATCCAAGCCAGCAAGGCTCAATGAATTAAGCTGCGAGGGAGGAAGGGAAAGCTCCTCGCTCCTTTGGGCAGATCAATTGGCCTGCGTACGAGCCGCTGTAGCCGCACCGCGAGCTTTTGAAGCTCCAATGGCTGGCTGGCTGGCTGGCTGGTTTTCATGCGGGATTGCGGACGGCGTGAGATGAGAAAAAGGTAGGGGGCAAGCTTTGGAGGGCTGCAGACATGTGTATGTGACGTGACTTGTGATTTGGGAGGTGGACAGACAGAAAGAAGAGCTTTTACGTACCTCGATGAGCAGTATTACACGGGAGAGGTGATGGTACAGATGCAGATGAAGCAAGGGGAAAAAGGTTGTTGGTACACGCAGGTCGATGGATGAAGAATCGATTCTTTCTGCTAGCCTCTCGGGGGAGAAAAGTTTTGGTGAGGTCAGGGACTTCTCAAAGGGGGACGGGAGGCAACGGCACGGCGCGACGTGTCGCGGCAACCTGAGGAACACATTTTCATGACAGAGCAGGGAGGAGGTCGCCCTCCCATTTGGTACATTTTGGAGCACGGGCATAGGCGGGAAGGGAAGCTCAGAGAATTCTGGACAGCTATCGCAACTGGCGGACCACGCTGAATTGACCTGAAAACTCTGCATGTCCACCAGGATATGCCTTCTTGATGTAAACTTGTTGGGCAATTAATTGACGGGGAAAACAGCTGAAACCTCATTTACCTCGTTTGCATCGAGAAACACGAGGTACGATAGGTAGGTAGATACCTTGGTAGGTAGAAACCTTGGTACCTAGGTTACTAGACTACGTCGAGCCTGAGGTACGTACTGCTCCGGCCAGTCCCGGAAGCTCCTTCTCTCTCACTTCATCCTCAAATCACTTCACATGACTCGGCACCAGGTTTCTCCACATCCCTTTCCGTAAGTTGGGCCAATCTTATCGCGCTGCTGACGGTACGTACTCCCTGCTTACACCACCCCGATTCTACCAAGTCGTTGCCATTCAATCACAACGAGTTGGTGATATTACACTTCCTTCCCACAATACTTACATACCGCGACCAATATCCTCCTCATCACGCCCAGTTCATGGGAGACTTGCTCCGTCTAAAGTCGTCGTATCACTAGCAATCTAGATCAGGCTACAAAAGGCATCTCGCATGGAGGGGTTGGACAATCCAAGCGGGGTGACGGAGCTTCCGCTGTTGCTTAAGTCTGCCCAAGATGATTCTGAAGCAACACCATCTAGCTCAAGAGAACCAAAAGCAAAGGTGAGCTGTACGTCCTCTGAGCTGAAGTTTGTCACCATTTCCCACCCAGATGACATTCGCCGTCGCAAGGATGTGCGTACCGACATCCGCCGTCATGTCATGAAGAAGATAGGTCAACAACGGCGGCGGCCAAAGACACAGGCGGAGGGAAGGGCATCATCGGCATCATCGGCATCATCGTGCAGCTTGATGAACCAGGGAGTTCAACATAAGGTCCCTCCGAATAACCACACGGACACAAGCGCGGCGCTCGGCGCCCCGTGCATGATGCTACCACTACTATGGGACTTTCCCATCGAGGCAAACGATCGCACCGTAGAACTTGTTCGATTTTGTATGAGAGAAACAATTGTATCGTACTAGTCTTGCTGGCCATTCGCTTACAAATAATCATCCAGTGAACGAGCAGCGTTCCGTCTACCTACCCTTTCGCGGTATCTGGTTTGACATAGCAAGGATTGATAAAGGCGCATTCCACGTAACGCTAGGGAATGCCGCTGACCTTTTCCTTCGTGTGCGGGGAGGATCAGATCCTGATAGGAACCCGGAGATGCTGCAGTACTACTCCCTCTCCGTGGCCCATTTGAGAGAACGTCTCAACAGTGCTGTTGACAGCATCAGTGATGGGATGGTGGCCCACATTCTGTCCCATCTCTGCTTCTGTGTATGAACATTCATCCAAGCATGTTGGAGTTATTGCTGACCATTTGTTCCAGATGAGACGCCAAGACTGGACAGCATGGAAAGCCCACATGGGTGGCTTAGCAGCTATTTCAAGGCTGCGAGGCGGTCTTACTCATCTGGGCCGCGGAGTACATACCTGGATTCTTTTGTAAGTCTCTCTGTATCATCTATCCAATCAATTGGAAACCAAAACATGTGCGAACCTCATCCCATAATAGATCAGACCTAGGTGGAAGCATTGTGTATGATACAGTTCCCTGGCTACCCCTGCCTTCCTGTTTTCCTTCATACAAGACGTCTCTAGAGAACCTGCCAATACGACTGCAAGAGCTTCTGTCACGATTGGGTCCCAACTCAATCGCTGTGACACAAACAATTGAAGCTTTAGAAAGAGTCTACTTTGTCATGAACGAGGTGAACACCAAAGGCCATTCACCGCTCTTCTGGCACCGAGACGAGAATGCCATAAGTGTTCTCGGACCGTGTATTCATTTCCTGCTGTCCATGCCTCGCCTTCCGGAGAATCTGGACGCAACTCTCAGGTTGGATGAGCTCGGCGCGGAGATGGTGCGACTGATCAGCCTCTGCCTCATGTCAAGGCTCAAGGCCATGTTTTCGTTCAACGCGCCCGAGAAAGCTCGGCTGGAGAATAAGCTTTCCAGATTCACCGTTTCCTACACAAGATATCTAGGTGGTCCCTATCGCGACCTCAAAGTCTGGGCGCTTGTCACAGCGTCTTTGCTGCAGAACGGTGGGGGTCGAGATGTGTACCTGGACGAGATTCGGCGAGATATGGCTGCCACAGGCGAAACAGATGCCACTGCTTGCGTTCGGATCGCAAAAGATATCATCTGGTTTGAAGTTTTGGGGAAAGCGGGTGCGGATAACTTAATACGGAACATTGCATTGTGTAGCGATGGACCGGCCGGATGAAAAGGGTCTACCTTGTGACGAATGAATGACTACGCTTCAAGTCATGGTAGGTCAACCTAGAATATATGGCAATGGAGAAAGCGGCTGGACCACCGACCAGGAAGAAGAAAAGGAAAAGAGGAGTGAAAAACAGGACCGCCCTAGCAGCCTCTAATTCTAACAGAGTATATGAATGAATAAACAGTGCAATTCGCAGATCTAACCTGAAAAAACTTTATTAAGCAGTTGAGCATTGATATGGTCCATGGAGAAATCGAACAAATAGTAACGTGTGCAGAAGCATTGACAATGGCAGCAATTGTACGGTAATGACTGTGTGTATTCTGCTATATTTAGGAAAGTGATAATAACAAGTATGCCCCTTCCTGTAGCAACTGCGATACCCTTCTTGTATGGATGGTCTTCTTCTACCCGCCTGGTATCTAGCTGCCAGCCAACCCGTCCCTCTACAAGATGCCCATGAACTCAGTGTTAGGTTTACGCCAGTGGCTTGACATTTCATCCACCATTGATGCCACCGCTAGCGGATATGAATTGCCCGGTGATCCAACGACTCTTCTCGCTTGCCAGAAGAAGCACAGCGTCGGCAACATCCTCCACCATTGTCACTCGCTCTTCGGCTCTGGTCCTCGAAAGCAGGAAATCTTTCATGGGTTCAACCTCGGGAACGGGTGGCAGCGTATCGGTCAAGGTTGGGCCGGGCGCAACTGTGTTCACCGTGATATTCTTGCCATCACGGCCGACCTGAATATAGTTAGCAAATGAGCTTCATCCACCTTTGTATTTCCGAGGCTGGCGCGCTTCATAAAAGGCATTCTCACCTCTTGAGCCAGCGTCCAGGTGAGCTGATCCATGGCCGCCTTGACAGCTCCATAGATTGCCATCTGATGGAATCCCATCTTTGAAGCAACACTACCAATGTTGATGATGCGGCCATTTCGAGACATGTGGGTGTAGGCGGCTTGTAGGAGGAGCACTGGACCGACAACAGCGACCTGAAATGATTTCATCATGTCCTCGGAAGACGTTTGTAGCGCCCCACCCGGTATCATGTATGAAGCATTATTAACTTGTTTACGTTAGCAACACACTTGTACTTGTATAAGTTGACCAGCGACTGGCTGCACTTTTTAGTTGGAACTCGGAGCTGTTGCACTCACCAATAATGTCGATGTGGTCAACCCCAAAGCTACGTAGTGTTTCGTCCACGATCTTCTTGCTACCTTCGGCGGTAGAAACGTCGGCCCTGATAGAGGTGGCAACACCCTTACCAACGGCTGCCTCGATATTGGAGACGACTTGTGCAGCACGGGTGGCGGAGGACTCGGAGATGTAGTTGATGGTTACACGGGCACCTGCCCTGGCCAGCGCTAGGGCGATGGCCGCGCCGATACCGTTTTCCCGGCCGGAACCAGTAACGATGGCCACCTTGTTGGCTAGGGAGAGACTGTCGGTCGACATTGTAGATGATGTGTAGAGATGATTGGGAAAGTGAGCTGGTATAGAAGGAATCGGTTGTTGCTTTTTGATGGCCAGAATGTCTCGGATAGACGACAATTCGCACGTTTATATATTCCACGACAAGCCGAAGAATCGCATTTAGATCATCTCCTGCATGATTGCTAATTCATCCGACAAATTAACGCCTTGCGCAAGCTACAATGATATCTCCTCATTCAACCAAGGGCTTATACTGCATCACAACCCATACAGTATTGAGAAGTACACACTGAAGACCGAGACCCGCGGATTAGCACCTAGACCCTAAGCCAGATCGGGGCATTGGTCCCCCCTGCAACCTTCTGTGTGAGACCGGCGGATCGGCCCCTGGGCTCTAGGCCAGATCGGGGCATTGGTCCCCCTTGCAACCTGAAGCTTATGTAAAGTATGTGCTGATTTAAGCAGGTGTTGATGCATTCATGATGTTCCAGTGCAGGTGATTCGAGTGGAATCTCAAGAATGGTTTCACCTTCTACACATGTGCTCTTTGGCCTGTAAGCAGCAAGTCAGACGCAAGGATGGGTATTAGTAATTAGTTACGACACCCGGCGGCTAGTGACGCTTTGCAAATAATTTGGCAGTTTGTAGCATTCTACAAGAGAAAGGAGGGGATATAAATGGTGACCAAGGAGACTGCTCTTCCGTATAGTCTCGATCTCAAATCAGACACAGAATCTACCATCTCTGTTTATAACGATATCAAATATTGAAACCCTCATTACATCCATTCTCGTAAATCGAATCCAACACCACCCAAAATGTCGAAGCTTATCACAATTATAGGTATCACTGGCGTACAGGTACATTACTCTTCGCTCTTAAACTTGGACTCATCTAATGGTTTGCTGACATGTGTAGGGTGGCTCTGTCGCGGACACATACCTCCAAACTCCAGGATGGAGGATCCGTGGCATTACGCGGAACCCAGAGTCCGAAGCCGCACGGGCGTGGGCCTCAAAGGGCGTCGAAGTCGTCCAGGCAAATCTCGACGACGTGGAGTCACTCAAGCGTGCCTTTGTCGGAGCGGACGTGATCTTTGGCGTCACCGACTTTTGGACCATCATCAAAGATCCTGCTAGCAGCGCCAAGAAACGACCCGGCCAAGAACTCGTTGAATATTGCTACGAGGTTGAGCTACAGCAGGGAAAGAACATAGCCGATGCTGCCGCCACTGTACCGGGCCTCCATCGCTACGTGTTCAGCTCAATGGCGAATGCGACCAAGGAGAGCAATGGCAAATACAGCAAGCTGTACCATATGGACTCCAAGGCGGAGGCCGCCGCGTATGCGCAAACACTTCTCGCCCTCCGGAACAAGTTTTCTCAGGTCCAGGCCCCCGTCTATTTCAATCTTCTCTGGCAATGGGGTCTTCCAACGACACCCAAGAAGGTATGACCGCGCAGATGCGCTCGCATTCCAGTCTTGGCTTCACAACGACTGACATTTGGCGTAGCAAGCTGATGGAACTTGGCGTTTGAGCGGAATCGGCCCTGGTGACAAAGGCATTCCGCTCGGCCACGTCCGAAAGGACTTCGGACCTTGCGTCAAGGCCGTCGCGGAGGCCGAGCCTAATGTGAACCTTTTCGCGATCGGCGAGTACGTATCGTGGACAGAATGTCTCAAGATCTTTTGCGAAACTCAGGGACTCAAGTATGGCGGATATGACGAGCTCTCGTTCGACCAGCTCTGCGACCTGCTGCCCGGTGGCATCGGCCACGAGTTCGGCTCGAACATGCTGTTCGCTTTCGAGTTCGGTTACGCGGGAACAGACCCTGCACTGATTACACCCGACAAGGTAGGTTATTCTGCAGAAACTCGGCTGTGTGCACCTTTACTGATGAAAACCACTAGCTTGGCGTTCAAATGACTTCGTTTCTTGATTACTGCAAGGAGACAGACTTTTCTGCGATCCTTCAGTAGGAGCGAGAGGCAGTAGGGGTTGGAGGGAATGCGCATTGAACACTTCTGTCGCGATATCGGGCATGGCCGTAACTGTCGGCGATAGCAGAGTTAACTCCGATGGCCCTCCACTGTCCACAGTGTACACCAGGCGGTGGTTATCCTGCCTTTCAACCAGGCAATTTGCAATAGTTACTTTCTTTACGCATGATCGAGCCAGTACCCCTGTTATTCGTCACCCATTCTTCTCTTCCACTTACCCTTCCTGAAAAGATAGGCTTTGTGTGGATGATGGTTCTGACCAGTTATCTGTTTGTGTATATACATAGTACATCTTCGCTTAGTCATAGGCATTAACCTTGTCTCTCTCGAACCCACTCGATGCTTACCGCCCACGTGACTCGGCATCATCTTTCTCCACATCCCCCTTCATCAGGTTGAGCCAATCTTATCGCGTGGCAGAGGGTACGTACCCCCCTGCCGTCGTCCCGTCCGAAACCGATCGACCTGACTGAGCCTGAGCCTGAAGGTTCCAGGGTGGCCAGGTCGTCAGGTCGCTCGAGGTGCGCATCCATTCCATCGTCCTTCGAAACGTCGACAAAGAACCGCAGGGGAATCGACTTTTGCTATCTTCACCTGCGCCTTGGGGCTTTCCGACTGCCGTCCATCTAATTGATTTCCCAATCTTGTTTGCCGAATCCGCCAAGATGGATTGGAATAACCTCAAGGACACGGTCGCTAATATGACCCTGTACGACGTCAAGGCCGGCGTCAGGAAGGTCCAGAATGGTAAATCCCCAGCTGTCTGTCCAATTCGAGACGCTCGTGATCGCGTGCTGACCGCGTAACCCCCTAGCCGTCATGAACTACACAGAAATGGAGGCCAAGGTTGGTATTGTCCATATAGCGCTTGTCGTCACCGTCTGTCTAACAGCTCCCAGGTCCGCGAGGCGACCAACAACGAACCTTGGGGCGCGTCTTCGTCGCTGATGCAGGAGATCGCCAACGGCACCTTCAACTAGTACCTATCCCCCAATCCAGACAAGACAGCCTCTTCCGCAACGCTGACGAGCTCCCAGCGCTACCCTCAACGAAATCATGCCCATGATCTACCGCAGATTCACAGAAAAGTCCGCCGAGGAGTGGCGGCAAATCTACAAGGCCCTCCAGCTCCTCGAGTTCCTCATCAAGCACGGCTCCGAACGTGTCATCGACGATGCCCGCGGCCACATCACACTGCTGAAGATGTTGCGCCAATTCCATTACATCGACCAGAACGGCAAGGACCAGGGAATCAACGTCCGCAACCGCGCCAAGGAGCTGTCCGAACTCTTGAGTGATGTTGAGCGGATCCGGACGGAGCGCAAGAAGGCAAGAGCGACCAAGAACAAGTACACCGGTGTCGAGGGTGGTGGCGGCTTCTCCAGCGGCAGCAGCAGCCGCTACGGTGGCTATGGAAGCGAGTCCGGCGGCTACGGGGGCTATTCTGGCGGCGTCTATGGCGACGGCGGCGGTTTCGGTGGGCAGGAGGCCAACGACTACGGCAGAACACAGGCACACAACGACAAGTTCGAGGAGTATGACGAGTTCGACGACGAACGCCCGGCTGCCAGCTCCTCGGCGTCTCGTTCCAAGAGACCCGAGCGAGCGGCGGCGGCGGCCCCCAAGGCCGAGCCGCCCAAGAAGAAAGAGCCCGAGGTGGACCTCTTCTCTTTCGACGACCCCGCGCCCTCGTCGGTGCCCGCCCCTGCCGTCGCCCCGATTCCCTCCAACGGCTCCGGCATCGCGTCTCTGTCAGCCCCGTCTGCCAGCAATGACGATGACGAGTTCGATGACTTCCAGTCCGCCGCCCCAGCTCCGGCCCCCGCTGCCGCCACCCCGCTCTCTCCTCCCGTCATGACCGCCAACTCTGCCACAACCTTTGCCGCTCCCCAGCCCGTGTCGGCACCTCAGCAGGCCAACATCGGCAACATGGTCAGCATGTCCTCCATGTCTCCCGCCCCGAGCGCCAACTACTCGGCCTTCAGCACTCCCGCTGTTGCCTCTCCCGCAACACAGGCAAAGCCCACTGCTTACCAGCCTTCGGGACCCAACTACTTCAGCTCCGTCCCGGCTGCAGCGCCCCAGGCAGCTCGTGGCTCTCTCGCAGCCACTCCCGGCGCGGCTGCGCCAAAGGCAGCCTCGGCCGCCGCGAAGCCCAGCGCTGCTGGCGGCGACGCTTTCGGCGCGCTGTGGTCGCAGGCCAGCTCCGGCGTGAAGAAGACGAGCACGCCCACCACAGGACCTGCCCTGGGCCAGCTCGCTAAGGAGAAGAGCAGCGCTGGTATCTGGGGTGCTCCTGCTCCCGCGGCCTCGGCACCAAAGCCCGCCGGCGGCTCATCCTCGACCGGCGGAAACCATGGTTTGGACGATTTGCTCGGCTAAACAGAGTACGCGACAACAAGATGGAGACGACGACCGGGGGAGATGACGAAGCTCGCCGTCGCAACGCCGTTGACCTAATAGTCAAAACAACGATGCGGCGACCAGGCAAAAAAGGTAGGGAGGACAAGGGTGATTTGTGTGCTGATAGGCTACTATTCAAGGCGTATCGGCGGGCAAAAGAAGACTGCAACGCATGAAACCATATACTGAAATTTGAAGCGAACCACATTTCTCAATTCTTGTGTGATGCATCTGCTCACGTTGTGCAATGTGACATCATTTTTTTTTCCTTTCTCTCTTCCAATAGCCCGACTACTCGACGCGTCTGCGCTTCACGCGTGGCCGGGGCTCGTCGAATAAGCTCCATGCCTTGCCCTGGCATTCGGGACGTAACATAACACAGTTGCAGGACTTCACAGCCTTCTGCGGCCGCTGGCGCGGCCTCATGCATACGCAACCTGAAGCAAGCCCGTCGTTATGGTGATGGGTTCGGTCGAACCAAGTCCAGACCATCAGACAATCCATCGCGGATGGTGGTATGCATTGTCCCAACTGGCGCCAGGGCGATCAACAAACAAGGGTGCGGCCACTCGCGGACCAAGCACCGCTGTTCCGCGGCTACGGAAGGTTCAAGAGGCCGAAGCAGCAGTTCGCGTTCCTGGGCTGGCGTTGGTTGGAAGCAACCAACGGAGGCCCAGGGACGGGTGGAATAAAGGATGGGGTGCTGCCCTCAACACACGCAGAGAGATGGAGAGAGAGAGACGCGCATTGAAGACAAGATATGCGGCCCAGGTCGGCAGCCGCCAGACCAAGTTTCAGAACCGGTGCCTTGCATGGGGGCATCCGGGCTAGCTCGTATGAACAGGCGCCTCAGCCTCCGCCGCCCGTCGCCGTCGTCCCACACCGGCCGCGTCTGCTGGGCCTCTCTTATCCGGCTTGTCCCAAGACACCAGGCGAAGACAGGACAGGCCCAGGAGGAGAGGTCCACCAGGTCCAGGCCCTCGAGCTCAAGCAACCGGGTGAAAGGGGGGGGGGAGGCTCCGGGTTGAAGCAGACCCAATCAGATCCCGGCCGGCCCCAAGCGAAAACAGCCGCGCCGCCGCCCAATCCCGAGCAAGAAGAGAGAGGCCCTCGATCAGACATGCCATCGGGCGCGCCTATCAAGCTCCACTTCGCTTTTGTTATGCAGTGGGCTTCGTACACGGTACACTTGGTCCGTCCCAAGGAGCCTCCAATCTCCCGGATCCGTGCGCCAGCTTCGTCGCGATTCGCAGCCGCGTCGTCGCTTGTCCGACCTCTCCGGGGTCCTCCCCGCCCTTTTCCCTCTTAGTCTCTTCTACATAGTAAGCGCCGCACGGCTAATTACACACGCAACCCCGGCCGGGGGCTGTCATTGGCCCGCCCCAGCGGCTGCTCACACCTAGCCGAACGGCTTCGATCCGGGATCTTGTGCCGCCTTCCAGGGATCATTGGACGAACCACTTGGGTCAACCACTCTCATCTTGACTCGGCCTTTTTTTTTTTCTTTTTTTTTTTCTTTCCTCTCTTTTCACGAAAGGTACTCGGATTGGCGCGTCATCGACGCAGGAACGGCAATGTATCTATCTTTCGTAAACTAGATTGGGTGTTGTCTACGGCCGCATCCACAGGCATCCATCCACCCATTCCCTCAGAGAGGCCGGGAAAGGGCCTAGAAGCGCGTGTGGGTACCCATTCTGCTTGATTTAGCAACACAACAATACAATGCAGAGAAACCTGATCGATGAGGTTTTACCTTGCCCTTTTCTGGTCAACTAGCAAAGGGGAAAACAAACACGAGGTCGGTTGTATCATTCGTTCGATTGCCTCGAGTGATCTTGAAGGGGGGGGGGGGGGCGAGATGTATAAAGCAAAGTCATCTCATCCGCCCTCCTTCAACTGCTCTTCTGTTCTTCATCCAACACAAAACCACAAGAACAATCCAGAGACATCTACCGTCTTTTCCTTTTTTCCCTCTCTCTTTTTTTTCCCTTTCCTTTCCCTTTTTCCTTATTTCCTAGGTCGACTTTTCCTTGGTCAAGTTTTAAGGGTCTTTCAATCTCTCACTCTCACCATCTTTCTACTGGCTTTTTCCCTCTCTCGTCTTCGGTCCTCGGTTTCTCCTTTTCTTAGGTCACGAGACGAACGGACAACGAAACGACTCGGAACCGAAACAGAACAAGCACACGATCTTACACGATCTTACACAATTTCTCTTTTCATCAATTCTCTTGACTAACCACTGAACCCCCCCTCCTTTCTTTTTTATAAACCAAAAAAACCCCCAATTCCTCTTCCCCTTTCCTCGTTAAATCTTTTAAAAGTCCAGGTCGCTTCACCCAAAAGCGGCTCCGACCTCTCCTCCAAAATTCCCTCCTCAACCCCCCCGCCGCCTGCATCCCCTTCCCGCCCCGGCGATTCCCCGTCCGCACGGCCCTCCGCCTCGACGCCCCGCGCCCGAAGCTCACCCTCGTCACCCCGGCCTCCCTCGCCCGCGACTCCCGCCGCGCCCGCACCATGGGTTCCGCCCCCCGCCTCGGCGCCCTCGGGCACACCTTCACCGCCATGCGCGCCATGCAGTTCCTCTCCCTCGTCTCCATCATCGGCATGGTCGCCAACTTCATCTCCGAGATCAACGGCGCGGACGCCGTCTCGCCCCCGGTCCTCGTCGGCACTCTTGTCATTGTAAGCCAGCCAGCCGTCTTTGGAATTTCTTTTCATTGAGATAGAAGCGCACGTACTTCATGTACATTATGGACTCGTCAGGACTAACAACCCCCGCCCTTTTCCTAGTCATGCATCGCCACCCTCTACATCTCCATCACCTACATCCTCTACTACGACAACATGCTCCCCCTCCTCCTCGCTGCCGCCGCCGACTCGGCCCTCCTCATTGCCGTCATTGTCGTCGCCTGCCTCCTCGGAAAGCCCCTCTCGTACCTCAACTGTGCCGCCCTGCCACCAAAGTCCGGCAGCACCGCCAGCTTCATGGCCTCCGTCACAGCCAACATCAAGGCGGGCTCCGTCCTCAACTACTTTGTCTGGGTCGGCGCCGACCAGCCCACCTGCTACGCCATCAAGGCCGTCTGGGGCCTGTCCATCGCCCTTTGCGTGCTCTTCGCCTTCAGCGCCGTCACCGCCGTCTGCCTTTGGCGCCGCCTGAAGCTCGCCCCTGCTGCCCCCAAGGACATTGAGGGATGAGGGTGCGCTCGTGATGGGGGGGCTGAGGTGGCGGTCGGCGGTGCCTGGTACGGTTCTTCTTCTTTCCCGCCTCCCCCGACGAGGGAGGCCCGGACCGGTTGCTACGGTAGCAAGAAGAGCCTGGGCACCGCCGCGGTGCTGGCCGGGGAGAAGCGGTGGGGCAGTGGCGATCCGGGTTCCGACTCGGACGACGCTGCTGCCACCGTCCCGCGGCCTTGGTTTCCACCTCCTCCCATCACGTCGCGGGTGCCGCACAAGCGCGTGCGCATTGTCGAGCAGCAGCAGCCCGTTCACCCGATGCCGGTGCTGCCCGAGCTGGTCGTCTCGCCGGTGCCTCCCGCGTCTCCCGCCGCACGGCAGACGACGCCGATGACGCCGACCACACCTCTTGGAAGCCTCCTTGCGCGGGGTAGGTCGAAGCGCAAGACGATCATGGAATTCATCGACGGGTGGTGGGACCTGGGCCTGCTGGAGCAGCAGAAGCAGACCAAGCTCGCCAAGGCTGCCTCCCGGAGGAAGTGATCTACCCGTGTGTGTGCGTGTGTGTGTGTTTTGGGGTTTGTTTTCTAACGTCTGCTCTGCTGGTAATAGAGAGAGGTGTCGAGACCAGAGCAGTGCAAATCGGGGGTAATGTCTACTGGATAGATCTACTTTTGACATTTGACATTTGGCTTGGGATTTCTTGCGAAAACGCGCGGTGGCAGACTGCGACTGGTTCTTTGTTTGGGCGTTATTCTTTGGTAGTCTGGGCCACTGATGATAATAAAAGAAAAATAACCGGGAGTCTTTCGGTTGCTGTCCCTCTTTTTTCGCTTGTTGCATGACCCGTGTCAAAACGAAGAGCGTCCCAATCGCCGGCATCGCGCAGCCTGAGCGATCGTTGATGAGAATGCCTTGGGAGTAGAAGTCTTGCGTGACTCCCTTGCTGGCCAAGGTAGGATTTTGAAATTCAGCCATGCCTCAATCACACTCTCAGGTCAGGAGCACGGGATGGCCAAGGATCTTGAAGCAGGCGGCGAGGTCCCAGCTCTCGTCGATGGTGTCCCGGCGGGCCCATACATTCTCCATGACGCCGAGGGCGCCCGTGAGGGACCCAAAGACCTCGAGCGGGCCCATCCGGGCGGCCATGTCGCGGAACATGTTCTCCTGCTGGGGGTCGGCGAGGCAGCCGATGACACAGAAAGGCCAGACGACGGTGCGCAGGCAGACGGGGCTGTGTAGCGTGTTGAGCAGGTCGAGTGTCGCCTGCACGCTCGTTACGGTCTCAGGGCACGAGGGCTGCCAGCCGGAGACGACGGTGGAGAGGTACGTCAGCGCGGCGTAGGCCCAGATCTTCGTGTGGGCGCGGGCGGCGTCGACCGTGTCCGGCGTCTGCGAGTACTGGTACAGCGTCAGCGGGTCGGGGGGCAGGCGGGTGGTGTCGGCGTGGGTCGGGTGCGGCGGCGGGCGGCCCGTGCAGGCGTTGTTGCAGGCGGTGACGAGGTCGTCGGAGCCCATGAGCTGCGGGCACTGGTTGTCGATGCAGGAGATGCCCTCGCGGAGGGCGAGCTCGAGACAAGCGGCGCGGGAGACGAGATGGGTCATGGAGAGGGAGCCGGCGCGGCGGGCGTCCTTCTTCCAGGCGTCGAGGGCGGCGATCTCGCCGATGATCTGGAGGACCCAGCTCTGGCAGCCAAAGTACTCCTCGAGGCGAAGGCGAGGCTCGAGCTCGAGGCAGTCATCCTTGCGGGGGGAGAGCAGGTGGTGGTGGTAGGCTTGCAGGGTGGGGGGCCGCTCGAGGGCGGTGGCGGAAATGATGTCAAAGTAGAGCAGGGAGGCTGTGAAGAAGCGCAGGGCTGCCTGGTCGGAGCTCCAGGCCGTATGAGAGCCGGGCGGGAAGCGGACGCCGGAGAAGAGGGGTATGGCCATGTGGTCCATGGTGGCGTCCCAGTGGTCAGGCTGGGGGAGGATCTGCTGGAAGACGACGGTGGCGGCGTCGAGGTGCATCTGCCAGTGGTCGTTGGAGGCG